GGCAATAGCCTTTTGTATTAAATAGCCGATTTGATCTATATAAAACTTCACATTCAAACCCAACCAAAAAAATCAACTTGCACCACTTTTATCTAATTCCGATGGTTTCTGAGGCATTTGAGCATATTTCATTCGACTGTGTAGGACCTCTTCCACATTCAAAATCTGGCAATAATTACCTGTTTACGATTATATGCGCAACTACACATTTTCCTGAGGCCAATCCTTTACATTTTGTAACTGCTAGAGCAATCACCAAAACACTGGTTAAGTTTTTCACGGTCTTTGGTTCAGAGTGATCATGGAACAAATTTTACATCTCAAACGTTTTCTCAAGAGCTTAAACGACTCGCCATTAAACATAACATCTCCACTGCTTATTATCCAGAGAGTCAAGGTGCTTTAGAGAGGTTTCATCAGACAGATAAGGTCTATAAGTTCTCACATACTCTTTTGAGCTTGAGAGAGGAAGAAATTCTGTGGTTGCTTTTCGCTTCACGAGAGGTGATACAAGACTCACTGGGGTAGAACTTTTTTGGGCACACTTTTTGCTGTCCTTTAGCTGTATTGAAAGAGAAGTGACTCTCTGATTCAAAAAGCACCACTGTTCCTGAATATTTTTCACAGTTTCGTACATGTTTATATAGGGCTGTGACACAGGGTTCCCGCGGGTCCTTAAAAAGTCTTAAAATGTCTTAAATTAAAATCCGGGAAATTAAGGTCTTAAATTGTCTTAAATTTTACCGTAAAGTGGCTGTAGGTATTAAATTTTCAGCTGGTCTGCTTAATGACGATAGGGAAGCACAGTGGTCCACCGTAAAACATCTAATAGTTGATTAATTCAGTATGTGAATCAGGAGAGAAATGACAGTCTCCGTGATTTATTAGACTTTTTTTCTATCATTTTAGACGGGGTTGTGCCGGGCTTGGGCTTGCGCAGTAAATGAACAGTCATGTGATGCATTTCGATTAGCGCGAGGAAGTAATAAAATAGTAATAAAATTGTTTGTTACAACATTGAAATCCATCCCTGCAAAGGTGAATCAAATGATGACAGAGATGTCAAAAAGAGCGAATTATGTCAGCGGTCAGGTCAGCCGCCTGTTTTATTCGAACAGTCATTCTAGCCGCTGGTATATAAAGGTATTTTGGCGGTCGCTCGTACACTGCGTTTTACGGTAGAGCACCTGGGAGCAGTGTCCAGCGAGCTGACAGGACATGACAAGGACACTCGCTACATTGAAACTGCTGTCATGGAAAATGAAATGAATGTTCTTGACTGGTGGAAGATGAACAAACAATCCTACCCAAAACAAATTAGCCAGATCAGTAGTGTATTCTGGCCAGTAGCAGCAGCAGAGAAAAGGTGTTCAGTGCTGCTCAGTGAGCGCAGGACTGCGCTAAAGCCATTTACAGTGGATTCAATAATGTTCCCCCACAAAACGCATAACCTAATCTTGATAAGTAAAGAATTTCAAATTATAACTAAATATTAATGAAATCATAATGTATGCAGAGTATACAGGCTAATGCTGGCATTATTCTTTTGAGCATTACATTATTCAGCTTCACCATCGCCTTACTGTGAAGAGAAGTGGCAAAAAAAATCCCACTGAGCCTTTATCTTAATTTCGTTATTGCCAAATATCTGTCATCATTTATCATTTATTTTAATTTATTTGCTAAGAAAGACTTATTTTTATTGGTGTGTTGGCCAATTCAAACGTTAAGTGTATTTACCCAGGCCTATTTAGAGTGTTGAGATGTTAAGATGTTACAGGGGGCTTATTTTTTAATTTTTTTGTTCCAACTTGGCCTGTAGCCTATGTTATGGATAATGTTAACGCATATAAACAAATCATTCATGAAAAAAGACAAAAGAGCTGTGCATGTGCACATTTGGATAATGTCGGGCTATAAACGGGTTCGGGCTTTTTAAAAGCTGTCAATCAAAATGTACTTGTCGGGTTCGGGCTCTATCGGGCCTACCTTTCATAGCCTGATAACAGCTCTAGTTCAGACGCCCCCTCAGAGTCTCATTTTACCACCAGACACCCAAAAGGCAGATACTGCGGGTTATCCATAATGTGACGAGGCTTGATTTATTTAACGAAAACATTAAAATGAGTAGCCTATTCCAAAGAAATTATATAATTTTTGGGTCTTAAATTATATTTGTTGAGGCCTTAAAAATGTCTTAAAAAGCATTAAATTTTACTTTTAAAAATGGTGCAAGAACCCTGTGACAGTGAAAATTTTTATTACTGCAGTGGGAAGACCACCGGTGTTGCAGTTGCAGTGGTTTTGTTTACTCAAAACTGAAAATTCATTCTGTTATTAATTACTAATCTTTTATTATAATTTTTTTATATGAAAAAGCAGTAAATTATGTAAAATGTGAAATTAAAGCAATAGTCCAGAGAGCTGGTTTTCCGCGTCAGTTTAGGTGCACCGTTTATAGCCTATAAAGTGCACACGTGGCGGCGGAGGCTGGACTAATGGATGGCATTAAGGTCCAGCCGCCTAATTCATTACATGTTTTGATTAACTAATTCTTTAAATACAACTCTCTTGAGCTCTAAAGAGAAAAACACAGAAGAAGTTTGCTGTTAAATTAATTTTAGCAGTGACACAACCGCTAGTCATTTTCACTTTAGTTTTTCAGTTAGGATAAATATTAGGAGTAACCTAAAAAAATGTTTAGTTGGACACTGCACAGTCCTACAATAGTCTACACTATAGTTAATATTATAATATCATATCATTATATCATTTTCATCAATATTATTAAAACTAAGCTATAAAATTGATAAAACGCAGAACCCTTAAAAATATTTGCTTTCATTTTGACATTTCTAAAGCGCACTTTTACAGTTGTGTAAAGAAACATCCCATTATGCAGCAGCTGTCTCAAGTTGGGACACTCAAAAAATGACTTGAGTTTAAAGATGATCGGCCTGCGAGGTCAAGTTTATAGTGGTAGTAAGTAAGTGGATGCCACAGATCAACCTCTCACTTGCGCTGCAGGTATCCTGCATGATAATGTAGGGTAGAGAGTTCTCTTGTCACGTGATAATAAAGATACTGAGAAGGACCTGCACACAGTCTTGAGCACAGACAGACACACATGAGCAAACGCAACGAAATGAGAAGGAAACATAGAAGCGTTGCCCCGATAGGACACGATAATAAACTTCAACTGGCGAGCTGAGCTGAATCAAAACAGCTGAGTACCGTCATAACATGTGACCATAATAAATACACGTGGACAACCTAAACAAAACAAACCTCCAAGACAAAACAGGCACTCCGGACATCTCTGTTTTGCTACACCAATGCCTTAAAATGTAACCAAGTAACACATTTAGCTACTATTTTTTTAGATGACATTAAATTGTAACATTTACCTTTTTCCTAACGCTGATATTGGTGTGATAATGAAGCATGATGACTCGGTTATGATTTATTTACCTGTTATATAAAAAGTGGGTTAGCTTGCTGGTGTAGGCATAGTTTGACATATTTTCCTAAAACTTTAAACATTTATGTTATTTAGAATAAAACAGAAAGAAATAAGGAGAATAAAATATAATTTAAACCACTCGTTTGGCACTGAAGCCACGATCCGTGTCTGCGTAAATAAACAGTGTTGTTGCTAACCTTCCTTAATAAAGTCAGTAAGTCGAAAGTGTGCATAGCCTAATATTATAGTTATAAAAAGTATATTACTGGTCTAAGTCAGTAACTTGCACCTATATTGTTGGCGCAGTGCAGGTTTTTTGCATCTACGAATCAGATTATGAACAATAATTAAGAGCAAGTTTTTCCTTTATTACATTCTTACCGTAAGGTGTATTTATTTATTTATTTATTTTTTATTTATTAAAGTCGTGAGAACATAATCACTGGCAAAATGTTCCTTCCGTACCACCAACAGGTTATGCCTCTTTACGTAACAGCGACATACAGTTGAGGGTAGGTTAAACAATTCTAAGATGCTCACAACTTTGATGAGCCAGCTACCAAGAAAACTGACGTCATTGGATTAGTGAGAAGTTTTCCAATGTTGTTCAGTGACATTTCTGATATAACGTCAATTATTGAGCATGATATTGATGTTGATTTTACCCAGGCGATAAAGCAACATTTAAATTAAAAGTTGGGTGAATTAAAAGAAACTTGTTGGGTGAATTGTTTGAGGTTGACTGGTGGGTAAATGCCGGGCACCACTAATATATGCTTTAATTTAATATATTATTTCTAAATAATATATACAATAAAATAATTCATATAATCTATACATTTAAAACAATGATGAATTTAACTTAGCACTGGGTTACTATTATGGCCATCGTACAACTTTTTTTCCTTTTATTATTTTATTTATTTTATAGCATTACTGTCATTAGTAATTTGGTAAAGTTCAAGACGAAAGTAGTAAAAAAAGAAGTGAAATGAAAAAAATGGAGATGCCATTTCTGAGTGCAATATTTTTTATTGAACAAAAAGAAAATGTACATACAATACAACAGTAAACATCACATTACAGTGAACATTAAACATACAGTTTGGTACCTTCTATTTTACTGAGACCCAGAAGGGACATAATGGTGGGAAAAAAAAACTCAGTGGGAGGAAAATATCTATTTTTAGTTTTTGCGTTACCTCCCAGGGTTTTGTTTTCCCTCGCAATAGTTTTGCGTTCCCTGGCAAAGATCTTTTATGTTCCGTTGCAACACTGTTGTTCCACAAACACTTCCTGTTCACTTTATATTTTAAAAATGTAGGTAATTTGTATGTACAGTTCAGCATGTACCATGTACATGGTTGATGTGCATATTGTCCATTCGTCTTGCAGTGTTTGAGAGCTCTGCACATCACTATGGTGTGTTTCACAAAGCATTTCTTCATTCGACACTGGGTTGCTTACATGGTCGCCGAACAATGTTTTTATTTTTTATTGCACAACTACTATTCGTATTTCCACAAAATAACAAAATATTTATTGATAAAATAAATTAATAAAAAATACAATAAAAAATGGGGATGCCATAACAGCTGATGAATCAGTCGGATGAATCAGTCTGGGGTCTTGAAGATTTCTGGTCTTGAGGTGGCACAGGGTTGCTGTCATGGCTGGCTACAACTTCCTTTTTTTAGTGTTTATGTTTTTTTTAACTACTATCATCAGTCATACTAAAATATACAATAATATCTAAAGAAAAAACTAACAAGTAAAAAGAAGGGAATATTAAAAAATGGGGGATCCTCTGACTGCTGATGGACGATGCGGTTCTCGGGTGCAGGTCTTTCCACGTCTTCAGGCTGAAACAAAAACAAAATTGAGGTCTGCTATTTAATGCATTATTAACCAAAGAACATCTAAAAAAGATTTTTAAACAATTATGAAAATTTAGGAAGATAAAAAAAGAGTGCAAATATTAATGAATGTTCAGAATGTAAATAATACCGTAAACCAGTCATGGAGACTCAGTTTCTCAAGTTCAATTCGCTGCTCTGGCTCGATCTGGAGACAGCAGCGGATCAAATCACAGCATTCTGTGCAGAAAGAAGAGAGAGAGCTCAGATTTACTCCACAACTTAATTAATAAATAATAGTTTGTACTATTCAGATTGACCTCTTTCCTTGACCCAAATAGAGATTTTACCTTTTGTCAAGTGATCTTTGGTCCAGATGTTACGTCTGATCATTTGCAGGTCGTGTCGATTTGGAAAATCTCCACACATCATCACATAAAGGAGTAGCCCAAGAGACCACACTGTCGTTGTTTTACCGTGGTACTCGCCAGTTATCCGATACTCAGGTGGGACATAGTCATCTGTGCCTGAATGAGAGAGGTTTTAACCATTAGTCATTAGTCACCAGATCGACAGTATTAATCGATTAGTGGACTCCATTCTATGATGCTATGTGAGAGCTTGACTCGCGCAGAGTCTATTGTGAACTCATCACTACAGTTTGAGACTCACTTCACAGTTTAAGAGATCATACATACCAGCAAAACTTGTGTAAGGAGCATCGGTGAGGATTTCCCCGCATCCAAAGTCGATCAATTTGATTTCGAGGGTGTCCGGGTTGATCAGGATGTTCTCCATCTTGATATCGCGATGAAAGACTTTGCGTCTGCAGCACGTTTGAGCTGCAAATATTACCTGCCACATGATCAACCGTGCCCCATCCTCATCGATGATCGACTCTTGGCGCAGGAGAAAGGAGAGCAGCTCTTCAGAGGGCATAGGCCGCTCTAGGACCATGATGTATTCGTCCTCATCCACGCGCCAGTCCAAAAGCTTAATTATTTCCTGTATTGCGGGCTCTTGGTTTGCAAGAACTAAAAGAGCAACCTCCATTGGAAGTGATTCCGGATAGCCGTCCTGGAAAAAATATATTTGTTATGATTATTGGATGGATATTATGTAAAACATGATGACAATTACAGTTTGTCTAGTGATTTATAGATACTTAAAGTGAAACAGTGAATGAAAGTTGAAGAGCACAGCATACTTACAATGTCGATGAACTTGACGTTCTCGTTGTAGGCAGTTTTAATTGCCACCTGCTCAACAGAACAAAGAAAGCATGTGTTATAGAATTATACACAATTATTGTGTTCAGAGTTCACATTTGTCCAATGCTATCTCATGGCAATTTGTCACTTTTTGATTTAGTGGCTGATTCGTATGAATTTGTACAATCTCATTCTTGTAATTTGCTTATCCAGTTTGACATTTGGGTTTAGGGCTGGAGTTTGGTGCCACGCATCCTTTTAAAAATCACATTTTTCATATGAATGAACTCATAAATTCATACCAATTAGCCACTAAATGACAAAAGCTAAAATAGTTCAGTTTCTCTTGAGATCAGGCTGATTTTCAGTCATTAACACTGAACAGTTTAACAAAGAAGCAGTTTAATTTATCCCAAAAATAAGAATCACATATCTATCTATTATTTCTTATCTGATACTCTGATTTAAAGTGGTGATCTAGATATTAACTGATGAAAATTGACGATACCTGAAGGCCATCCTCTAGTCGGGTTGCAGCTTGAACAAGTCCAAAGCCTCCTTTACCCAGCAGAACGCCAAGTTCATAAGAGGATGAGTTGATGACTGTCAAAAGAAAAATCAAAGATGTTGATATAAAATGTCAATCAGTAGAGAGTTTATTTAATCCAAGACTATTGTCTGATTCATATACGCACTCAGTATTTGTACTTAAATTAACACAAAACAGGACAGTTTAAATGAACTGTAGTAGTTATAGAAATAGTTATGCTTCATGTAAAATATACATATTCAACGCACACACATAAACAAATGAACAATGAAATCTTGTTGAATGTGGAAAAACCGTTGTGCTATTTATCATCTATTATTAAACAAAACACATAAAACAAGATTAAATATTGACATTAATAAAGACATTGCCATAAAAGTGTGTGTGTGTGCATGCGTGTGCTGGGTTAACTACCAAACTGACCCATTATTTCGCTGCTCTTCTTCTCTTCGTTGGTCTGAAACAGAAACAGAAATCATATTTAGTGTCATCACACAACCTGCATAAAACAAATATAGGCAACATGCCTAAAGTAAAGAAAGTGGACATAAAAGAACATGAAGAATGAATATAAAATAGTGTATTAGGACTGACTATACAGCTTTACATAAAACTGTAAATCTAATGCGTATTGTCTACTAACTTATCAAATCAAAAATATTAAACTCATTAACATGTATTTACCTTAATCCAGCTGTGGCGGTTGAGTCGCTCCAGTTTAATCCGCTCTCTGGGGTCTATCTTGAGACAACAGCGCATAAAATCGCAGCATTCTGTGCAGAAAGAAGAGAGAGACATGATCACCTTGAAATTTATTTTTTAGTAATTCAAATTACAACTGTTCTGTGCTGAAAGGAAGATCTCACCTTCTGACAGGCCTTCTATGTCTTTATTCATGATCGTATTCAGTTCTCGTCTTGTTGGAAACTTCCAGAAAAGCATTACAAACAAGACTATTCCGAGAGACCACACTGTCGCTGGTTCTCCGTGGTATTTGCCAGTCTCCAGAAACTCAGGAGGACGATACTCCGCTGTGCCTGGAGGAAAGAGATTTTGTTTCAGTTAACAAGGCATGTTTAATTGAATATTCATTACTAAGCAAGAATTCTCTTGATTCACAACAGTGAATTACTTCATGAGAGCTCAAGTCATCACCACAGTTTAAAGGGATTATACGTACCAGAATAGTCTGTGTAAGCCTCATCTTCGAGGATATCCCCGCACCCGAAGTCAATCAATTTGACCTCAAGGGTGTTCGGGTTGATCAGAAGGTTCTCCAGCTTGATATCTCGGTGTAACACTTTTCTTTGACAGCAAGTTTGAGCTGCGAATACGACCTGTTTCATGATGAACCGTATGTCATCTTCATCAATGGACCCAACATAGCTTTCTATGAAATTGTTCAAGGGCTGACAGGGTATGGGCCGTTCCAGGACCATGCAGTAGAAGTCACGTTCCACCTTCCAGTCCAGAAGCTCAATAATTTCAGGAACCCTTGGGCCTTGATTCACAAGGGTTTGAAGAGCAATTTCTATTGGAAGTGGTTGAGCAAAACCATCCTAGAAGAAAGAAGGTTTTTATGATGAATCAGTGGTAAAAGAATTGAAATCTGTCGATTGTCTACTAAAATATTATTTGCTGTCTGTGATTAAAGAATTAATTCACCCAATTAAGTTATTAAAAACCGTCATGCTGTTTCAATACTCTGACAGCTTCTTTCATCTTAGCAACACAAATCCCTCATCCTTCATCAATAGCAATGAGATGCTCAAAGTCCAGAAAAGGAACCAAAACCTTTGTTTTTTAGTCTTAAAAGTGTTCTTGGAGCTTTGTATGTAGAGTTGATCTCTAGGATTTAATCAAAAATATTTAAACTTGTGTTCTGAAGATGAATAAAGGTCTCGGGGGGGGGTTGGACTGACATGAGGGAAAGTAATTAATAACATAACTTTATTTATGGGTGAACTCATCCTTTAATGTTAGCATGACGTGTTTGAAATGTAAAATTGTGGAACAGAGGAGAAACAGAGAGCACAGTTTTCTTACAATGCGGATGAACGTTGTGTCGAACATCGAGCAGTATTTCACTGCAACCTGATCAACAAAACAAAAGAGTGGATGTGTTAGAATTATGAGCAAAGGCAATGGTGAGACCAGAATAACAGGACAAAAATGATTGGCTAGATTAATATTGCTGTTCAGATCCATACCTGAAGTCCATCATCCAAACGAGTCGCTGCATAGACGGTTCCAAAACCTCCTTCACCGAGCTCATCACCAACTTCATATTGGCGTGAATTGATGACTGTTAAAGAGAAATCAGAGATGAGGGAATAAAATGTGACAGCACTTACTACTACTAAATACAATTAAGAGCTACTTTTTATTTTCTAAAGACAAATTAGCTGAATATTAGTTATCAACAACATTTAAACAATCTGTATATTGAAGTCAGTCTGAAGCACAGCCCACTAAACTGTAGGGGTCTAACTATTCGCACCTAACCATTTCAGTACAGGACTTTAAGTTCAGTCAGTGTGCACAAAATATGGACAAAAAGACATTTGAGGGGAAAAGTGACACTGCTGGATGTAAATGCTCAGTAGTGCTCTGCTGCAACACTGCACTGACAAACACATCTGTGTGCATGAATGAACAAGAGTGAGTCCAACAACTTCCCAAATATTCACAGTGTTCCAGAATTCAGCATTTTCTGAATAAAGGTGAAAAATGTTTCATTAGAAACGTAAATGTTACTGGTGTTTTCTTCTGTCAGATAACATTTGGCAGAGTTTTTATTTTTATTTTTATTCATGCAGCAAAGGTTTAATAATTATTGTCCATTTTTTTTAATGACTGAAAAATCCTAATATATATTTTAATTTATTTGTATATTGATTTATGTAGAATTCACCTTTTGTCACGTTATTAGTCCTCTAACTTTTACTTTTTTAATAGTAATAAACGGTAAACAAAAATCACAAGCATTTTTTAAGTTTTGCTTGTTTTTTTATTTCAAACTGTAATAAAATTGAACAGAACTATTTATCCTTACACCCAACTAAACTGAAGTAAACCTGTAAATGTTCACTGAATGAGTGTCAAGGTAGCAAACTTACCGAAAATTGTTTTCTCCTTCTCCTGAGGAACTGATGGCACTGCAGCTTGAAGGACATCATCCTCACTACAGTCGGACGTGGCACAGGCTGTAGGGACGTCGTCAACACTTTGAGCTGCAGCATGGTCTGGAGTTTGGAGGGTCAGTTCAGTGCTGGGAGATTGGAGGACATCACTGTGGTCGTCAACACGGACTGGACAACCACTGGTGCCTAGTTCCTCCGATAACAGGTATTCAGTCCTATCATCAATATCTCGACCTAAAAAGAGAAAAATATGTAATAACTAAGGATTGTTTTATTTAACTTTTTTTAATGAAATGTTAATTAGCCATGTTAAAGTGTGCTGTACATTTTGAAGTGAGTATTTGGGGTGTTGTAGCCCCAAAATGTCAGAATTCTGAAGTCAGAATTATTAGCCCCCCTTTGATTTTTTTTCTTTTTTAAATATTTCCCAAATTATGTTTAACAGAGCAAGGAAATTTTCACAGTATGTCTGATAATATTTTTTCTTCTAGAGAAAGTCTTATTTGTTTTATTTTGGCTACAATAAAAGCAGTTTTTAATTTTTTAAACACCATTTTAAGGACAAAATTATTAGCCCTTTTAAGCTACTTTTTTTTCCGATAGTCCACAGAACAAACCATCGTTATACAATAACTTTGTTAATTACCCTAACTTACCTGCCTAGTTAACCTAATTAACCTAGTTAAGCCTTCAAATGTAACTTTAAGCTGTATAGAAGTTAGCAAAGATAGCAAAGATAAAATAAATCAGTTATTAGAAATTAGTTATTAAAACTTTTATGTTTAGAAATGTGTTGAAAAAAATCTGCTCTTTAATAAACAGAAATTGGGAAAACAAATAATCAGAGGGGTTAATAATTCAGAGGGGCTAATAATAATACTTTAACTATAGTAGTACAGTAGTACAGAAAATACAGTAGTAAATTCCGTCATCATTTACTGACCCTTGATTTATTCCAAACAATTCAGAGTTTTTTATTGTTTGTTTTTTTTAACAGAAAAGAAGATGCTTCAGAGAATGTTGAAACCTGTAACCATTGACTTTAATAGTATTTTTTTTCTACTATGGATGTCAATGGTTACAGGCTTTCAACATTCTTCAATATATCTTCTTTTCTGTTCAACAAAACAGCAAAACATGGTTTGGAACAAGTCAAGAGTGAATAAATGATAGAAGATTATAATTTTGGTGGACTATCTCTTTAAATAAATAACCTTAGATTTTATTAATACATTAGTAAATGTTGATGCTGTGCAAGTATTTTTAATTCTTATTTCATAAATACATTAACTAACATGAACTATTGGAACATTATTGTGAAGTGTTCCCAATTTTGAAACTAAGCAGGCATTTATTAAATCAGTTTTAAATGTTTGATTTTCCTAAATAAAATAATAATCATGAAAAAGAAGCTATTTTAAACATTTCTCCCTAACTGAAGCGTAAATGAATCAAACCATTTATTGATACACTAATATTAAATTGCCGTCTAATCTGTGCATGTTCATTGAATTACTTAATGGTGAATTAGCAAACTGACCGATCACTGTTTTCTCCAAATTCTGTAGCTGGCATGACTGTGGCTCAGTGTCCCGAAGAACACGTGCACACAAGTTAGCTAGCAAAGGCACTGCAACTTGAAGGACATCATCCTCACTACAGTCGGGAGAATAGAGGACAACACTGTGGTCGTCAACATGGACTGGACAGCCACTGGTGCTTGGTTCCTCCGATGAGAGGTATTGAGTCCAATCATCAATTTCTCGACCTAAAAAGAGAAATAATATGAAATAACTAAGGATTGTTTTATTCACATTTGATAATTGTAAGATTAATTTGCCATATTATTGCAAGCTGTACATTTTGAAGTGACTACTTGGGGTCTCGCAGCCCACCATTATAAATGAAAAACGCAGTCAAACAAACATACACTGAAAAAGTGACACTGCTGGATGTAAATGCTCAGTCGTGTTCTGAATACTGAAACATTGCACTGACAAACACATCTCTGTCAATGAAGGAAATCAATAAATATTCAGAGTGCTCCTTAATTTTGTACAATCATTTTTAGCTGATTGTCTTTTCTAACTGTTTGTCTTGCTCTTTTTTGAATATGGGTAAGAAATGTAAGTATTTGTCATTGTTCACAGCAAATGCTGTTCAAGATATTTTCATTCTTAATTCTAGTTAGCAAATACATTAAATAACATTAACTAATCAAACATTAAAGTAAAGTGTTTCCAGTTCTTTAATTATTTTAATCAGGCTGGCATTTATTCAAATGTTTTAATTTGTTATTATTCGCAATTGACATAACAGAAAAGCACTTCTAGATTTTGCCATTTTTCTCACAAACTTATTATTACACTGCTGGTAAACTGCCGTCTAATCTGTGCATGTTCATTGAATTACTTAATGGTGAATTAGCAAACTGACCGATCACTGTTTTCTCCAAATTCTGTAGCTGGCATGACTGTGGCTCAGTGTCCCGAAGAACACGTGCACACAAGTTAGCTAGCAAAGGCACTGCAGCTTGAAGGACATCATCCTCACTGCAGTCGGGAGAATAGAGGACAACACTGTGGTCGTCAACATGGACTGGACAGCCACTGGTGCTTGGTTCCTCCGATGAGAGGTATTGAGTCCAATCATCAATTTCTCGACCTAAAAAGAGAAATAATATGTTATAACTAAGGATTGTTTTATTCACATTTGATAATTGTAAGATTAATTTGCCATATTAATGCAAGCTGTACATTTTGAAGTGACTACTTGGGGTCTCGCAGCCCACCATTATAAATGTAAAACGCAGTCAAACAAACTTACACTGAAAAAGTGACACTGCTGGATGTAAATGCTCAGTCGTGTTCTGAATACTGAAATATTGCACTGACAAACACATCTCTGTCAATGAAGGAAATCAATAAATATTCAGAGTGCTCCTTAATTTTGTACAATCACTTTTAGCTGATTGTCTTTTCTAACTGTTTGTCTTGCTCTTTTTTGAATATGGGTAAGAAATGTAAGTATTTGTCATTGTTCACAGCAAATGCTGTTCAAGATATTTTCATTCTTAATTCTAGTTAGCAAATACATTAAATGACATTAACTAATCAAACATTAAAGTAAAGTGTTTCCAGTTCTTTAATTATTTTAATCAGGCTGGCATTTATTCAAATGTTTTAATCTGTTATTATTCACAATTGACAAAACAGAGAAGCACTTTTAGGTTTTGCCATTTTTCTCATAAACTTATTATTACACTGCTGTTAAACTGCCGTCTAATCTGTGCATGTTCATTGAATTACTCAATGTGGAAGTGAACAAACTGACCAGTCACAGTTTTCTCCATATCCTGCTGCTGGCATGACTGTGGCTCAGTGTCCTGAAGAACACGTGCACACAAGTCAGCTAGCAAAGGCACTGCAGCTTGAAGGACATCATCCTCACTACAGTCGGACATGGCACAGGCTGTAGGGACGTCGTCAACACTTTGAGCTGCAGCATGGTCTGGAGTTTGGAGGGTCGGTGCAGTGATGGGAGAATGGAGGACATCACTGTGGTCGTCAACATGGACTGGACAACCACTGGTGCTTAGTTCCTCCGATGACAGGTGTTCAGTCCTATCATCAATTTCTCGACCTAAAAGAGAAATAATATGTAATAACTAAGGATTGTTTTGTTCACATTTTATAAATCAAATATCATTTAGCCATATTATTGAATGATAACAATTATGAAGTGACTATGTGAGGTGTAGTTTTGTGGATTCAACATGCATGGATGTGTTTGTCATGCTTCTTGTGTTTTGACAGCTCCTATTAGTAAATAATTAAGTTGCCATGTCATTTCATCATAAATAAAACATCACCTTAAATTCAGCTTAAAGGAATGAATTTCAGTTTTGTGTAAATGCATGACAGTATGAACTTGTATGCTACTGTATGTAGTAAACTGTAGGATGTTGAGTTCATTTATTTATTTAACTTGAAGTGCTGGGTAGGAAATATGGAGAATAGCTGAAGAAATATACTAAATCAACTGTATGTTACAGACTTCATAAAACTGATTAATAAAACTAAATAAATATAGTTTAAAACATTATTAATAAAAAACTTCAACGACATTGAGTTTAGGGCCCTATATGCAGACTTTGGTGTTCTTACAACATCTCTACATAATTTACCATCTCTGGTCATCGTGGGTGGAGAGTTCTTCTCCACGGGTTCTTCTCGATCTGAGTGGGGTTTGTTTTCTGTCCTTCCCCGCAGGACTAACGCAATTACTCCGAGTAATGTAAACATTTTAAAGAGTAAATAGTTACCAATTTGAAAAGCACAAATCTACGAACAATTAACTGTCAGTAAAGACGAAGAAAGTCTTCGTATGTGTTCACACTACAGTGAATTGTGTGTAATGGCGCCTGTTCAGCAGAACGTCATCTTTAGAACGTGTTTTAGAACATCAAATGACATTCTAAATTCCAATAACACCCAGCCGAAACGTGATTGACCCGTTTAAAAATTCATTAAAAATTTAATACAAAATAAAAGACAATAATTTTAGTGGATCTTTCAGGAGTCACTTCAAGTCTTTGTTTTTGTATTCACATAAAGAATTAATGAAACCGTTTTATATAATAATAATAATAATATATCTCATATATGCTGTATATTTACAAAGACCGGTCTGGAAACATTTTATTTCTGCCATTCTGCAAATGGCCTAAACTTATTTTTAAAAAACGGGGGGAAAGCTGACAATGTTTATAATCTGATTTTTTTTGTTGTTGAAGACCTTAGTATATTTACGAAGATTAACTAATAACGAACAACACTTGTACAGCATTTAGGCTAATCATATTTCGACATGTAATAACGCATCATTACATTTTACATTATACTTGCTAACGTTAATGTTATTATAATTATGCTTATTAAAATTTTTATGTTTTCCATAAAAATAAAACGTTTTTGAACTCAAAATGATTCTTCTATGGTACCAAAAAGAAAACCCCATTTTGTAACATTTAAATATTAATTTTAGGAGTCTAGAGAGTAAAAAGCGTTTATCCCTGCTTAAACAAATCACCACGTAATTAAAAAGTCAAGTAGACTTTATTGAAGGAACATTAAAGGATGTAAATAGTCAGGTAGTCTGAATCCTCAAGCTGTAGTTCTGTCCATCATTATTGTCCCAGTATTCTCCGTGATCAGTCCGACAATAAACTGCGAAATTCATCGACGAGTCTTGCACAGAACTGAGCGGCGCTTTCAAAGTAAAGTCGAACTGATCCCAGGGCAGCTCTTCTTCATTCATTTTCAGTGAAGCCTGTATATCCGCATAGGTCAGCCAGTTATTTGAAGTAAACCTGACTCCAACTTCCATTCTTCCTGCGTATCTCTGTGTAACTCTAATCACACCCTTCACTTCAGAAGCGGTTATTGAGACACTCTCCAGCGCGACTCCAAGACGGCGAGACTTCAAGTCAAACTCAGACAAACTCACGGGAAATTTAAAAAGCGGAAGTAACGTTACTCGCTGCTGAAGCTCTTGTATTGATGGAGGATTCCGAAGTGCAGATGTTTCATAGGCATCGTCAGAAAAGTGTCTGACGTTTTCCAGGTTCAGCCCCATCATGTCCGCAAACTGCACTCTCTTTCGATTGTGTGAGGAAGATTCGTCCTGATACAGATCTGCAGGCAGAGATTTGGCTCTTTGTCTGTCCATTTGTACAGTTTCAGGTGAAAAGCGTGACACCTGATCATATTTTGACGCGTGTTTTGGTTCAGGCAGAGCCTCGGTCTCGTTTGAAGGTTGAGTTTCCTCATTAGCGTTCATCATATTGAATGAGGCTGCTGTAAATGAGGAACAGAAAGCCTTTCAAATATAACAAAACTGGACCTGTAGACTTTGCGTAAGAAAGATGCTGGACAAATACTACGAGCGCATGAGTTGCGTCAAAGCAACGTCATCATTTACAAACACTTCGGTGATGCTGACCAATAAGCAAAATTGAAATTTAAAAATAGATAGCCAAGGCCTCTTACATAATCGGCATATTGGTTATTGAATAAATGAAATTAAATCAATATTATTATTAGTTATATTGTTATAAGGTTAATCTTAATTCTATTAGCTGTCTTTTGAAATATTTGCTATTCATTTTGATTAAATACACTGTTTTAAGAATAATTGTTTGATAATTTATATTTATCTCAGCCTATAAACGGATGGACAGTATGACGAAATAATATAGCTACTGAAATTCATCGCTTATAATACTAAAACTACTATAAACATAAAGGATGATAATAATAACAAGTCTTTTAAAGCCTCATATGTTACTGTTAACCTAGAAGACGTCCTGTCAATCATTGCCTATAGCGCAGAAACACGATGACGACATGCTGAGTGATTGTGCGCACATGTCAGGGGGAGCACATTTTTCTGCACGTGGATCTGTTTACACTTGATGGCGCAATATATGTATTCTGCAAGCAAAACGGCTTATTTCCTTAAACTGGACAAATATGTGTGCATCAAATATAGGCCGTTGACTGAAAGAGATGATAACATGTCAATGAAAAAAAAATCTATATTAAGAAATAAATACACATATATTTTTTTAGTTTGGGACCTTTTATTTTGTTGTTAAAGGGTGGTGGAGTTGGAAATGTTTTTATTAGATTAGTAAAAGAGGTGATATTGTATTCTGATGTAAAACACTGAGAGGCATTTTGTTTTGTTTGTTCATTTGTTTGCTTGTTGATTTATGTTATATCTGGTACATTGAAATGAGTATGTACATGTTAAAATATAATAAAAAGGAATGGGGGAAAATAACTAACAACGTCTAGTCTATTTCTAATAAATAATGGTAACAAATATAAAAGGATAAAACACCTATCAACTGTTGATTATGAAGTAAAGGTCGTTTTCAAAGACTCTTTTTTTATTAATATACGAAAATGAGAATATAATCACAGTATGTTAACAAGAAATCGAAGAGACAAAAAGAGCAACAATTTTGGAATAAGAAACAACAACAGATAACAAAAAAAAAAACAGGAGGGGTAAATACATTACAAGTTAAAGAAAAAGATTATATAATTTACAAATTTCAGTTGTTTTTAAAGCCTTTTTTGTAAAAGAGTTAGACACTGTTTCAAAGTAATACTGCATTTCAGTAAGCAAAATATAAAAAAAAGGTTTTTGGTTTGAAAATTTACATTTATGGATATAAAATTTTGTTAATAAGACAAGAAGATTAAGAAAATATTTTTTCTTTTTATGTAAAGTCCCCGTTCCATAATCAACAAAACCAAATAAAACATTCTCCCACAGCAAGGAAAATTCCTCATCAACATTCTCAATTATAAAAAGTGAGAAGTCTTTCCAAAGCAACCTAGTGTAATTGCATTGCCAAAATAAGTGAACCAGGGACTCAGGGTGCTGCCCACAAAATGAACAATTAATATTAAGATCTTTTTTATATCGTACTAAAAGAGTATTGACTGGGTATGTACGGTGAATAATTCTGAATGAAACTTCTTTTATCTTATTTGTAATTAAGTAGTTATTTGGGGTGAGCCATATTTTTCTCCAATCAATATCCGAAACAAAAGAATTCCAATAAAAAGTAACATTTGGAACTGATACAGTTCCATTATAAAAAACGTATTGTTTTGTTTGAAGAAGTTGCAGAGAAACAACATTTTCCAATCATTGTAGTAGAAGGGTCTAAAAGAGGTAAAACAGAAGGATAGGGGATGCCTTGGAATAATCTAATAACACCAGATGGTATAGCATCAAATACCACAGCAAATTCTTTAGGGGGGATGGGTATATTGAATCGATTAAGAAATTCGTTATAATTTAATAAATGGCCATTTGAGTTAAATAATTGACTAACAAGCAGAATATTTGCTTCAAACCAGCGCTGAAAGAAAAGAGATTTGTTTTTATATACAATCTTTAGGTTGTTCCAAATAAAATATTTGTGAGGAGAAAAGTTGTGCTTGTATAATAGTGACCAGGCAAGAAGAAATTGTTTATGAAATTGAGATAATTTAGCTGGTATTTTCTCAACATTATAGTTACAGAGTAATAAGAAATTAAGCCCTCCAAATTTAGAAAATATGTAATTTGGAATAAAATTCCAGATTGAGGTTGGATTTTTGAGAAAAATTTTCCCCATTTAATTTTGATAGTATTATTAAATGTACAAAAATCCAGCATATTAAGACCCCCATTCTCAAAGCTATTCATAATTACCGATTTTTTTATATAATGGATACAATTTTTTCCAAATAAAATTAAATAATATTTTATCAGTTATATTATTTTATCGTTTTCAAAGACTCGCGAACTGCTGCTCGAGTTCTGCTGACAGCAGGAACTGACGTCAAACCTTTGCGACAGGCGAAGTTGCCACTATTTTGAAACATTAAACAGGCGCGCCGATGCAGTTTAGTGTAATAAACTCGTTTCTTTATTTCGCTGCTTGATGTAACAACAATGTAAGTATTTTGTACAGATATTAAAATGTCGCCAGAGCTGGAAAAGTGCCCGAGAAACCTGCTGGTGTGCGAGAAATCAAACTTCTTGAATGAAAAGTCTCGGCATGACATCCACGTGTCGAAGCACAGCTTTAACTACAAGGCAAGTTTCAACACGAGACATGTGCTCAGCATAGCGACTTTGATTGTAAACATTGACCGTGATGGTTTACTAAGGGAATGCGTTTCCCGCAGACCTCAGTGCTGATTCCTGAATGCGGGATCCTGCCTGCTAACATCAGCAGTGCCTTCAGCAGCTTCAGCCCTTATTATTTAGTGCGGGACCTGCCTGTATATGAACTGCTGGAAGAAACATTTCTGGAGTCGCTCGTGAAGAAAGGTTCAAGAAATGTCCATTGCTAACGTTTTTGTGTAATACGCTACATAACACGAGCTAAAGACGTATACAGCATTGGTTCATTTCAGATTGTTTCAATGTGTATTAATCCAGAGCTGTTTGTTCACACTAATACTAATAATTAGAATAATAATACACACATTAGTCACATACTGTATATAGAACACAACATATAGAAACATTGCATGCATTGTACAACAATCACAAACAACAAGACTAAAAGTCTTGCAAGTGAGATTGTGAGCAATAAGATGATGGCAGCTGGACTAAACAGTCTTAAACAGTTGTGACTTGTAAGCTTGTGAACTAACATGAGCAAAAACAAAAGGTAGCTATTTTATGTTTACTAACATTAAAGTTAACAATGCTGAAAAAGAATTATTTCTTATTTTTAGCTAAAGTGTTTATGTGAATGTAAGAATCTGTTACTGATTTTTATTTATTCATTTATTTTTACACAGGACATTTCTATGCACTCTCTTACAACACCAAAATTGATGAAGATAATTCCATTGCACTTCTTTCCAGTGGTAAGACATGCACTTGTGCTGTGATTCTAACAAAGCTGCTTTATTTTATTGAACTGAGTTAATCAGGTTAATTCATTCAGTACTTTAAATGACTTTAAATTTGTCTTGCAAAGAAAACCAATAATATGACAACAAGATGACATTCAGACAACATAATATTTTATCTTTATAATTTAATGGAAAGAAATAGTTTTAAGAAGTTAAAGATAATAAAATAAAAATGTAAAATCTGCACTCATCTGCATGAAAAGAATAAATAAAATCTTTCAAACAGAACAAACGAAAAATGTTGAGTACAACAATATCAATTTCTGTAACAGTTTTTAGGCTATATTTTTTTTCGAACAAACCTCCGTTATACAATAACTTGCCTAATTACCCTAACCTACCTAGTTAACCTAATTAACCTAGTTAAGCCTTTAGATGTCACTTAAAGATGTATAGAAGTGTCGTGAAAAATATCTAGTCAAATATTACTTACTTTCATCATGGCAAAGATAAAAAAAATCAGTTATTAGAGATCAGTTATTAAAACTATTGTGTTTAGAAATGTGTTGGGAAAAAAACGGGGAAAAAAATAAACAGGGGTTGAATAATTCTGACATCAACTATATATATATATATATATATATATATATATATATATATATATATATATATATATATATATATATATATATATATAAGCCAGTGATGTTCTGTAATCCAAGCACTGCGTTTATTATTAATAAACAACTCTATAATACACGCTTTTGCTTATTTGTGGCATTCTGAGATTTTTTATTCTTATCTGAGCATCTTTTTCCACTTTATGTCACTTTTTATTGATTATATTGAAATTGAAATGCATTACTTATCAATTAAACACTGTCAAGTGGTTTCAAACTTTGCATTTGTTGAAGACAAAAGAAAAACTTTTTTTTTAAATGCCTGAAACTGGTAGCCAGTGATAGGAGAAATAAATGCGCTAGAAGGCAATGATTACAAGTCGTCAACATTGTTTATAATATCTTTATTCATGTTCAGTAGAAGAAATAAACTGAAACGGGTTTGGAACAAGTGAAAGCTGAATGATGACAAGAGAAAACAGAATTGTCATTTTAGGGTGAACTGTAACTTAACAGTACCATATATTGCTGGTATTGTGCAAAATCAACAGGCCAAAAACATACATATTCCCTAAAATAAGTAATTGTTTTTTTATTTAAACAAATAAATATATTAATGATGTATTGACCTTATTCCTCAATGCAGAAGTGTGCTTGTTTTTGGGATTGTTTTAGAACTTCCGATTCAGTTGCCAATGGTAGAAATTGTCATTTTTGGGTGAACTGTAACTTTACAGTACCATATATTGCTGGTATTCAACAAAAAAATCAACAATGTAAATCAACAGGCTGAATATACATAATCCCTAAAATAATTCATTGTTTTTTTTTTATAAAAAAAAAAAAAATAATGGTTTATTGACCTTATTCCTCAATGCAGAAGTGTGCTCGTTTTTGGGATTGTTTTAGAACATCCGATTCAGTTGCCAATGGTAGAAATTACTACGAATAATAAATGACAAAAAACAGTCAAACTACATGCTCTACAAACAAGTGTGTTCATGACTATGCTGACAAAGCAGAATAATATAATAAGACAATATCAGTGTTCAACATTAAGCAGCAGAATGTTGTTTAAAGTCAATGGAAGTGATTGAGGCCCGAAGTTTCGAGCCAAAAAGACGGCACCCCCTTGTACACGAAAAATAAGGTGAATATGCACAGCTAGTGTTTTTTAACCCCCAATAAATGCCTAGTGAAGGCTATATGTGACTGTTTTAAATTTCATACAGTACCTTTTACAGCATTATGTTGTAATGTAATTAAAATATAATCAGTTAAATAGACTTAAGTATTCATTTAGTTGTTCAAGTGGAAAATGCACAGAGCACAGGTCATGAACACAGAAACACCATTGAAAATACTGTGGTAAAAGAAATGTTCTTATTTTAAAGTCATGGCACAGGACAATGGAATTGAATGCAGTGCTTCTTGTACAGTCTAAGACCCACTTTATATCGTATTTCAGTCAGGCAGTAAAGATTTTTAAAGATAACACCTTAAATGCGGTGATTTTGTAACACCATACTGTTCTACGGAAATCAATTGAGCTGGGTTACAAAAAAATTAAAAGTCCATCTGCATTAACCCTATTTGGTTTAATGATTTGAAAATGTTATTAATAATTCCATATTATAAAGTTTTTAGTATCCATGTTGATTTGCCACATTTCTCCCCCCAGGTCAGTTCATTTTGTCTTTAAATAAAGACACGTACGAGCAACTTGGCTTGGAGGGCCGACCATCCCAGTATAATCACAGAAAGGCTCTGAGATTTGGTAAATTTCTTTACTCTGAGCAGCATGAAATGAACTACTATTCATTAAACAGTATTACAATTCTTCAATGTCTTTATTTTTGTAGTTGTGACTCTTGACCTCACGGATAAAAGCTTGGCTCCAGGCACCAAACGATACCAGCGGGTTCTGTCATCTTTAAAAGACAGACTTCCACTCAAATATGACTTTCTTTTCACCAAGTACAACACAGGTTTGTAGGGAATGCATTATTACCATCACTGGCTTTTGTGATGGATTTTTCATTTGCGTTTGCTGTTTGTATTCTAAACCTTATCAGGTTCTGATGAAGACGAAGTTCTTCATGCGCTGCTGTCCCGTTACACATACAAGGAGCACAAGCCTGTTTTCAGCCAGCACATCCTGAAAAATATTCAGTGTCCCACACTTTACCCATCGGATATACAAGGAAAGACGCTGTCATGTGACCCACATCGTTTCTTGGAGTGGCTTGGAGCAGTTAATCTGGATATTAATTGGTGAGTGAGCTTAGAAATAATTTTAAAGACTAAATGCACAGAAACCAGTCATCGTGTCATGATGAGTTCTTGTATAATTGTCTTCTATTGTTTGTTGAAATCTTATTTTCAACTTCAAGTCAGATGTTGCTTTGTTTCCAATCAAATTTGTAAATTTTAACAGGAAAAAATGGAATATCATCTTATTCAATTGATAGTTGACCCCAAAGTGAAAATTCTGCCATCACTTACTCCTCCATCCTCCACTTGATCCACTTTAGTTTTTTCCTCTTCTGCTGAACATGGTGGAAGATATACTGAAGCATGTTGGAAAAAACAGCCATTGGCTTCCATAGATTATATGGGTTATATACAGGGCTGGAGTGGGACTCTTTTTCAGCCCTGGAGTTTCAAGCCTTAGACCGGCCCACCTCTGTTCACCACTGACTATATTAAAATAAGGTCATTTTCAATTCAGTTTCTAATTACACTATCAAGTCTTTTTTTGAGAAAACAGCTGTTTTAGAACTTCAAATGTTCAACAACCCTTACAGTATTATATGTCTTATCAATAAAAATGGAAAAAAAAAAATTATCCCCCAGACGAGGTCCGAACCCGGGTTGGTGGTATTAACCACTGTACCACAACAGCTGTACACTGAATGGTGACTTATCTAGGTATATCAACATTAACCTGCAGGCTAAAAAGATAAAAAGATTAAAAGAGCAGAGCTGCGGTAAAATAATGAATAAGAAGGCTGTGGTCAAGTAAATAAATAAATTATTTTTAAAAAGTGTGACTGCTGATAGCAACAGATTCTGGAGCTAGGAACACCGGCCCTCGCAGCCAACAAACTGACCGGCCCACCGGGAATTCTCCCAGTCCTCCCGATTAGCCAATCCGGGCCTGGTTATATAACTATATATATATATATATATATATATATATATATATATATAAATATAGTTAAAGTCAGAATGATTAGCCCCCCTGAATTATGAGCCATGTTTATTTTTTTTCCCAATTTCTGTTTAACGGAGAGAAGATTTTTTTCACCACATTTCTAAACATTAGTTTTAATAACTATTTATTTTTTTAATACCGGATTTGTTTTATCTTTGCCATGATGACAGTAAAAAATATTTGACTAGATATTTTTCAAGACACTTCTATACAGCTTAAAGTGACATTTAAAGGCTTAACTAGGTCAATTAGGTTAACTAGGCAGGTTAGGGTAATTAGGCAAGTTATTGTGTAGCGGTTGTTTGTTCTGTAGACTATCAAAAAAAAAAAAAAAGCTTAAAGGGCCTAATAATTTTGACCTTAATGGTGTCTTAATGTATAAATCCATAGGAAAAGAGAATTGCAAGCTGCTCAAGCCCCCCTGCTCGCATTCACTGATTTTCAATGTCTGGAATAGACATTTTTTAAAATTCCCTGACCTGTGGAAACCTTTTCTTACTGTTCGCATACCGAGTCAGCGTAAAGTATTCAAGCACATGAAAAGAGAACATTTGTAGCTGTAAAAAAGATAAAGCCGCTTTATACGGTGAAGACTCTCCAGTTTCATTTATTTAATTTCTGCACCTGAATGCTGTTAGTAATCTTTATTCCAGTTACATTTTAGTTTGTAGTGTAATGAACAGTTCATAACGATATATTTCCAAATGATTTGGGTGAAATTGTTGTCATATCACAATATATTGTGAAGATTTATATATGAAGATTTTATCCAGTGCGTTTTGATGTGCACAAAAATATGTGATTTGGAAACATGGTATTTCACAAACTGCCATTTCGTAGTGTGTCTGTGCATCTCTTAAGTGAATTTTATGTGTTTTCAGTGAAAATGCAGCTGACAGTTTCCTGTCTACATATGTGTGTCCCGAGCCTCAGAGCTCCATCAGTCAGGCTGTGGTGTGCAGCGTCACTGGCTTCATCTCACCTGAGAATGTGTTTGTGCTGCTGCAGGAGCTCAGGTAAGCACACCATCACTTCTGTATCACAACCAGCCTTTTATTTACACAACCAGTGTTTTGAAGGCCTGAAAATGCTAACTTTTTTATTTTAAGTGGGTTCTAAAGGTTTTTTTTTCTCTCTTCCAAAGTGGCGAAGTGGCGAAAGCATATTGTTTACAGCAGGGGTGTAAACCAAACTTGGGGTGCCCAAACTTGGTCCAGGAGGGCCGGTGTCCTGCATAGTTTAGCTTGAACATACCTGCCTGGAAATTTCAAGTATACCTAGAAAAGGTGTGTTTAATTGGGGTTGACACCAAACTATGCAGGACACTGGCCCTCCCGGAATGAGTTTGGGCACCCCTGGTTTACAGAGTGAAATCATCACCCACTGCATGCCTGATGTGCATAACAGCATATTTTGGTTGCTATTGTATGCAAGACATTTTAAAAATGCAACAGAAAAATGTTTATGCTTCTAGTACACTGCTGTGAATATGCCCTTCACTATACTGGGACATAAGGACCCACACAGACCGCAGGATGAGCACCTCCTGCTGGCCTCACTATCACCACTTCCAACAGAAACCTAGTTTTCCCAAGTGGTTTCCCATTCAAGCCCTTACCAGGCTCAGTGTACCAATCAGAAGAACTCAGTTTGTTTACAGTAGCGAATTGGAATGACAACTGTTTTATTTGATGGAAAAATGGTGGAGGCATCTTTAAAATAATAATAATAATTCTTAAACTGCGACTTGTGTTTTAGAAGTAATGATACAGTCTGTATGATAACAGCATATTATAAAATAGCAGATTTAAAGTGTTACATTTCATGCAATATTAATATAAATTAATACATTCACATTCAGTTTGTGGTGAAATATGTATAAGTACACATATGCTTAAGTTATTTTCTCAAGAGGATGCTTGTGCTGTAAAAAGCGAGGAGGACATCTGAAACTTACAAGTTGTCTATTTCTCTAACGTGTCTTTCAGGAAGTATTTCGATGAACCGAAGTTCACACCATGGCTTTCCCTCACAGTGCATGGGTTTATGGACAGTCCTGTGTCGTGGGGAACCTCAGAGCACGGCTTCCTCAAAGGTGGTGAAAACTTCTACAATTTTGTTTGTTTCAAGAATCAGGACTACTGGCTACACATGGCCACCGGTGCTCAAGATGCCTGTCCACCTTGAAACGATGGGCTTTGTGTTCAATTGTACAATATAAAAGTTATTTTATTAAAATTCATTTAAGAGGACCAAAGTAAAATAAAATAGTATATCAATTTATTTAGACCAGTCATTTTCACAGCTGTTACATGTTCAGAAACCTAAAAAAATTTACAGATTGTACAATTTATAACATTTAACATATCAACTATAGGAAATACGCATTGCCCTTATATTTATAACAAAATCTAGTTTTGACCAGCGTTTGAAATTAAAGGCAGATGACGTGTACAGCTATGCTGAAAGTCAGAAAACCATAATGAGACTTTTTTTGTTTTTATTTGTCAGTGAAGTGACTGGAATAAAGCAATATTTCCTCTGATATAGCCATGTTTAACATTACACTACACAATGCAAATATGCCAAGACATCCATAAGAGAAAGAGAGAGGGCCGAGCTCGCGCGCACACACACACACACACACCAAAAATGTTTAACGAATTTAAGATATTATTGCAAAGCTTGAGTAAATTGGAACTTTTTTTCTGGGTTGTTAACAGACAGTCTAGGTTAATCCTCACAGATCAAACCAGCTTCACTGACATCAGTTATAAGCCAGCGAAGCAGAGTTTACATTATACACACAAGTTAAAACAGAGAAGACATCATTAATGTCGCAATCCACTTCATAATCAAACATGACCTGTCACATTGTTTTGCAAAAAAATGTCTTTTAAAACAACTGAAGCATTCAAAGAAATACAAATGAAAACAAATCTATTTGCACAATCATAAATATCATTCCATAAACAAAACAAAAAGTCATTTTACAAAACCATTTGGAAAGAGGGAAAAAACACACACGACCACCTGTTATTCCGTGTTATAGAAACTACTACAGCAAATTCAATCTATAGTCAATAAATACTGAACAGAATTAATAACATATATCATTTACACTGCTGGGACTGATTACTGACTTCAATTTTGAGTTTCTGTAGATTATTTAGAGCAGTTATTTTGGAACAGGACAGAGCAATAGTGTATCTGCACCAGAGCGATTTTAAAAAGGGATGGGGTTCAAACCACACACTTCATAGCTGAAAATAATGTTGAGAGGTAGGGCTTTAATATTCCTGCAGGAATTTGTCACGTTCAATAGTTTTGTGTAAGCCATTTTCCTAAACCTACTCCATTCCCTCACATTCTAAAACATTGTATTCCACTGACTAACAGTGCACACTAGCTAGTAACTACAGGCGTTTGTGGAAGATTTTAGTTGATCTTCCCTTAGAGATGGTCGTTTAACCTCCAGGGCTCTTTCTGATAATACAGCAGTCCAGTCAGTTTGAACCAGAAGAAGAAAAATAACAACGTAAGGATGCAGATTTAAAATGCCAGCATCCTTTATTGACTCATGAGGAACTTCCTCCTTCAATTTCATAAGTTATTAAATTAGAAATATTTGTCAACAAACATGTACATCAAAATTATTTGGTGGTATAATAATGTTACTCAAAAGCAAACAGTTTGTATGAACATACAAACTAACAAAGCTGAAAAAAAAACGTTTAAAATTAAGCAGGGAAAAAGTACAAAAGTTAACTTTGATACAAATAACTGTTCATTCCTACTAAGCCAAGGCCTCGTCCACATTTACTTGAGTGTTGATTTTTGTCTTGACAATCATTATTACACAGTCATAAAAAGTATGTGCTTTTGTCCTTAGTGTAGCTCAATTCCGGTCCTTAGGCCCCCCCGACCTGCACATTTAGTATGTCTCTCTCATTTGACACACAAGGATCATTTCATGGATCTCTCTGTTAAAAGCTGATGAGCTGAATCAGGTGTGCCCTCATACACATTGGCCAGGGAGGGGAGGAGAGCCTGAAGCCCGCAATTGAGAACCACTGGTTTAAAAGAATAGTTCACCCCAAAAATTCTCCTGTTCATTTACTTAAGATGGAGGTGGCATTTAATTCAGTAGAACAATAAGGAAGATTTTTAGCTGGAACTGTGGTTTCTGGTAACTCATGAAATGCAGCAGAGTAAAGCAAAACAAAACAACAAAACAAAAATTACATACATTACAAAACTGATCAGTCTGTACAAACACAGAACATTATTTACAGCATCACCCTCAAAGAAACACTCCACATTTTTTTTTACAAATGAGCTAATTTTAAGTCACCTAGAGTTGAACTGTTGAATTTGATTATTTCTGAATCCATTTAGCCAATCTCTGTCTGTCTCGCAGGAGCAGTTTTAGCTAAGCATAAATCATATAATTAAATTAGAAAGATTAGCATTGCGGTAGATTTTCAAAAAAATTATATATATATATAAGTATAATTTTCCTATTTAAGCTTGACATTGTGTACTAATAATGGAAAGAGAACTGAAAGTTTTCATTTTCTAGGCCGATATGTCTAGGAACTATACTCTCATTCCTGCATACTAATCAGGGAACTTTGCTGCTGTACCCTGAGCATAGTTCCGAACCATATTTACCAAGAAAATATCAACATTTCATTTTCCGTTTGTCTTAGTACAGTAAAGCTTTAAATAGGGTCATTTTTTGAGCAAGATGCTAATGGTCTAATACGGTGCAATAAATTATGCTAAGCTAAGCTAAAACTACTCCTACAAGACCCAGAGATTGGCTTAATGGATTCAAAAATGGTAAGATTCTAAGTTGATGGGACTTGTAAAATCAGCCTATTTTCAAATAAAGTGGAGTGTTACTTTAATCCACAGACTCTGCAAATGTTTTTGAGTGTGTTCAGAACAATCTGGGTCATGAGTTCATGACAATTAATGGCGTGTATCAAACTTTAGCAAACTGTGAAACAGAATAAATACAAATATTTGAATCAACAATACAACATAAGTGCCCTCCCTCTCTGTTGAAAACAGCTAATAAGTTTGTGTCTACACGTATATCATCGTGACAGGAAATTTGAGGATGCGTTCAGGACTATTTGCAGATGGATGTGGTTTAAAAGTAATAATGCAGTAAATACTGTTCACTTTCTAACACTAATGCAGGGATCACCAAACTTGTTCTTGGAGGTCCGGTGTCCTGCAGATGTTAGCTCCAACCCTAATCAAACACACCTGAACAAGCCAATCAAGGTCTTGCTAGGTATATTTGAAACACTCAGGCAGGTGTGTTGAGGTAATTTGGAGCTAAACCTGGCAGGGCACCGGACCTCCAGGAACGAGATTGGTGACCCCTGCACTCATGGATCATTTCACTTTGTAAGACCTTCATTTATTTCAGCCAACCAGTTTTTGACTTTCAAAATGGCAGTAGCCACTGATTCACATTTTATAAAAATCACCAAGCACCACAGGTTTGATAAAAACGTCAAAAAAGTTCTACTGAAGATAAAAATCACCTACATCTTGGATGTTCTCAGAGTAAACTGAAGGGGTAATTCACCCTAAAAAGAACATTTCCTCACCTTTTACTCCCAATCAAGTGTTTCTAAACTTCAATAAAATTCTTTCTTCTGTTTAACACAGAAGATAATCTGAAGAATGTTGGATAAAAGCAGCCATTGACATCCATAGTGTGAACAAAACAATACTCAATGAAAGTCAATAGCTTTTTCCAACATTATCAACGGAAGAAACTCCTAAACCGGATAGGATGAGAAAATGATGATTTTCATTTCTGGGTAAACTCTCCTTTAAACACTTTATTTTTGGGTTTTCTATCTTATATCTTTAAGATCATGTTAAATCCCCAAGAACTGGTGACATTTTCATTTACATTTCTTGATAAATGTGTCTACTCATATAAATGAGTACAAAGGGCTGTGAAGGTCTGCAAGATTTACCTGAATATTCAAGGCTCAAGACGACTTCTATTTCATGCCATAAAAGTACCTACAAAAAAAGTTACCAACCCGATTCTAATGCCAACCTGTTCATTTAGCAATAACCACACAGAGACCAATCACTAATCTGAACTCATTCAAGTCTCATGCATCGGCTTTTTAAATGACACTGCCTTCTCAATTATTCTGCATAGAGGGCTGTCAAAACAACTCAAAGACACTTGCCACTTCAGTCCTGTTACAACAGAGGATGACAGAAATAGTCTTTCTGCGATGATGTGCAAGACTTATCTCAAACTTTGCATCAAGGTCATAATCAAGTGTAGCAGAATGAGATGCTCGGTGAAAACAAACAATCCTGGATGACGGAGAAGTGCATCTGGTTAGTCTTCCTGTTTAGGAAATCCTACTGAAAAGAAGTAGCCATGGACAAACCTTGTTTATTTAGCATTAGGCACTTGAGGATGGAAGATTTGAGACCTGTAGGAGTTAGAATTCATCAATTTTCTTCTGTAGATATTTGAGGATGGAGTCCATGCCCTGAGAGGAACCCCACACCCTCTTGAGGGCTTCACACTCTCTCTCGTTGGCCTGCTCCAGAGCTGCTCGGTTTATGTTCCTCACCAGTGCTTTGGACTCGCGCAGAACCTTTAGTGTTTCCGGTGGCATCAGCATGAACAACATAAGATGAGGAGGACAAAATAAAGAAGAAAAGGAAAACAAAAAAAGAAGGCACATGACTTATGGATGTGGATGCATTGTGAATTTGTATAGAAGTGCACTGATAAAAAAAAAAAATGGTTCACCCAAAAACTATAATTCTGTTATAAATTACTCTACTCAATCCAATCCCCTGAGACCTGCAGCTGTATTCTGAACACAAATGAAGATATTTTAGATAAAATCTGAGAGCTCTCTTTGCCTCCATAGACAGCAAGGGTTGTCCAGAAAAAGAACCAAAAACATTATTAAAACATAGGGCTGTGCAGTTAATCGAAAAATCCGATCTCGCTTTTGGCTTCTAACGATTATGAAAAACCATTATTCGAGATAAACGATTATTGCATCATATACCGCCCTCTTTCCAGTTGTACACATTTGTTGCTCTTAAAAGTACGAACGAGACCGCATGCTTCTGCACTAGAGGTGTGAACCTACACTAGTCTCACGGTTCGGTTCGGTTTCGATTATCATGCCATCGATTCGGTTCAATTCGATATTTCGGTGCATCACGGTGTATTGACGGTGCTTTCCATACACAGTTTTATATTTTCTTCACAGCAGTATTTCTTGTATTAAAATGTATGAATATATTTATATTTATATTTATATACTATTTGTAATACAATTTTGTCATTTATTACAAACAGTCAGATATATAAACTGTAACTTTAAACAACACGAGCATTTAGCAAATAATATAAACAAATATAAATATCCAGCTCAATTTCTGATCCTTGTCTAGTTCTCTTACACCCCTTTGATTGGTCACACCCTCAAAAAAAAAAAAAAAACGGTTGCGATTGGCTCTTGCGCGCTGCGTTCTTCACAGATGAGTGACACTGATAAACGGCAGGCGGCAGCGGCGATCTCACAGCTGATGTATGATAGACACGGTGGAGAAAACTGCAGACACGCGCTCGTTTCTGGATGCAAAAGTAACGCTGTAAAACAGCCGAGAAGAGAAGCCACGCCAGCAGGTCAAATGGGCCACTGTATATGTGTGTGAGAAAGAGAGAGAGAGAGACAGAGCGCGTGCGCGCGCTAGAGAGAGAGAAATGGAGTAGTCTACTTTCATTCTCTCGATCTCAGTGAATTAGGGGCTTTTGTTGTATATGTCAGTGAAAGACTGATCCAGCAAACACACACAATGAAATTGAGGACAGTTTATGAGTTTTAAGTAGTTAAAGCGATATAAATACTCGCGATCGCCTGGCTCGCGACAGAGCGCATATGAGGTAAATGACGTCAGTAAAAACCGGTTACGATTATTACTGAACCGATACCGAATTGTCCGCGTCTGCATCGCAGTGCACTGAAAAAACGATTATTTTTGACACACCTATTCTGCACACACATTCGGTCTCATTCGCACACTGAGACGAGCAGAGCGCTCACATCTAAAGTCATCTTAACACGAGCGCTTTAATGGACAATTAGGTGTCAAAATGCGGTGTTTAGTGATTATTCATATTAACCCTCATTTGTGTAATAAAGAAACAAGTTGAGAATCAAAAGACACGTGAAAGAGAAACCATTAAAGTGACAGCGCGCAATATTCCTGCTGCCGCCTGTTTTTATCATTAATCAAACAACAAAAGGAGAAAATCCCACACTGCTCTTGACTGAAGGACTTTTGTTGCTAAAGTGTTTTTCTTACAATGAAGATGCTTAAAGCACAGTTTGTTTCATATTTTTATTCTATTGTATTATTGTATTATTTCCTCTTTCCTTTGCAGGGTGGAAAATAACTGTATATATATATATATATATATATACAGTTGAAGTCAGAATTATTAGCCCTCCTGAATATTAGCAACCTTTTTCCCCAATTTCTGTTTAATGGAAAGATTTTTTTCAACACATTTCTGACCATAATAGTTTTAATAACTCATTTCTAATAACTGATTTACATTTTTTTTTGCCATGTTGACAGTAAATAATATTTTACTAGATATTTTTCAAAATACAAGCATTGTAGTGCGATTCAAAGGGTAATTAGGCAAGTCATTGTATAACAGCAGCTTATTTTGCAGACAATCAAACAATATATTGCTTAAGGGGCTAATAATATTGACCTTAAAATAGGTTTCAAAATATTTAAACCTACTTTTATTTTAGCCAAAATAAAACAAATAAGACTCTCCAAAAAAATTTTTTTTAAAAAGGAAATACTGTTAAAATTCCTGAATCTGTTATACATCATTTGATATATTTATAAAAACAAATTTCTCAGGAGGGCTAATAAATTTGACTTCAACTGACAATCGTTTTGAATAATCGTGATTACAATTATGACTAAAATAATTGTGATTATGATTTTTCCCATAATCAAGAGCAGCCCTAATGAAACATTCCATGTGATTTCAGTTGTTCCACTATAATCCCACAAAGCCCAAAGAAAACGAATTTTGTGCCAAGGAAATGGTTTAAAACAACATTGTTAGTCTATGTTCCCTCTTCAACCGGGTCAGGTCACAGTAAGCAATTACTACAAGCAATGTGATGCCTGCTTGTTGCACTGATGACACTAATGGCACTATATCATACTGCACATAGTAAACACTCACCATATCGACCTGACAAGGACAAGAAAACACTGTAGAATAAAGTCATTTAAAAAAATTTTTTGCTGCACAAAATTGTTCTTGGAGCTTCATATGATTACAGTGACTTACCACTGAAGTCACATTGAATATTTTGACGTTTTTTGCTGAATTTTCTGGATTTTGAACGTTTTACGACCGTTGCAGTCTATGGAGGGTCAGAAAGCTTGTGGGGTGAATCTAAAATATCTTCATTTTTGTTCTGAAGAAGAATGAAGGTGTCGGGGGATTTGAATGACATACAGAAGAGTGATTGAAAATCAAATCTTCATTTTTTTTTTAAAGTCAAAAGTAGACTTTGATTTGATAATAGCAAATTTGACTCAAGTAATTCATTTGTCACATTGCTTGTCATGTAAAATTATTATTAAAAAATGTATAAGCAGGAAACGTAAAGGCTCATATACAGTATGTCACAAAAGTGAGTTCACCTCTCATATTTCTGCTAATATGTATTTCTATCTTTTCATTGAACAAAACTGCAGAAATGACTTTGACACAATGAAAAGTCGTCAGTGTAAAGTTTGTATAGCAGTGTAAATATATTGTTTACTTCAAAATAACTAACAATACAGCAAATAATAGCTGAACCCCTGACAACAAAAGAAAGGATACCCCTAGGTGGATATGTCAAATGTCAATATTTTATGTGGCCACCATCATTATCCAGCATGGCTTTAATTCTCTTACACAATGAGTTGACCACAACATCACGGAGGTAATGGACATTTGACACCTTGTGCTCCTCTACCTTCCTATTCAGGATGCTCCAGAGGTGTTCTATGGGGTTAAGGTCTGGAGACATGCTTGGCCAGTCCATCACCTTTACCCTCACTCAGCCTCTTTAGGAAGCCGGTGGTCATCTTGGAGGTTTGTTTGGGGTCAGAATCATGATGGAACACTGCTATGTGGCCCAGTTTCCAGAGGGAGTGGATCATGCTCTGCTTCAGTATGTCACAGCCGACAGTCTGAAACTGTGAATTCTAACATGTACTATCTTTTCATAGCCTAGGCCATCTTTATGTAAAGTCTTCTGAGAGCTGTTTGTCATGTTGAACTTTCTGTGGCCAGGTGGAGAGAGTGGAGGAACTTTTACACCAAATGTAACTCACTTGCTATCTGGTGACACCTGAGACAGTGTAACACGAATGAGTCACATGACAGGGGGAAGAAAAATGAATAATTGTGCTTCGTTTGTACATTTTCATTTAGGGGTGTACTTACTTTTGTTGCCCGGAGTTCAGCTATTATCGGCAGTATGTTTGGTTCTTTTGAGGGGACAATAGATTTACACTGCTATACAAATTTTACACTGACGACTTCTCATTTTGTCATTTCTGCAGTGTTGTTCTATAAAAAGATATTAACACATATTTGCAGAAATGTGAGGGATAAACTCCCTTTTGTGACACTGTATGATCCTCTCAAGTCAAGATGGATCCTCTCAACCTATTCCTGCTGCTTTTAATCATTTGTTCATTCATTTGTTTATCCAAAAAATAAGAATTTTAAACTACTAAAGATGGCAAAACGTGAAGACACTGCACAAGCATGAACCTTTTTGAGTTTGAATGTTGTCGTGTGCCTGTGTACAGTAGCAAATGGGGTTTTACCATCAACATCCGGTATTAATATACTGTAGATTTGGTCAATCTGATTAAATGGACAGTGCAAAATTCAGGTGCAAACAGCATCTAAAACACTCTGAGAAAAGGTGAATCTTAGTAAAATCACAGCATGCTGTGTGTTTTACTTGAGTATGTTCCTAACACACACATAAAATAAAATAACTTAAGTATACTTTGGGTATTATCGCAACTGATGTAATAATGATTCATAATCTTAAAAGGTCTAAAACGGGCAATTCACCCAAAATGTAAATATCCTCACCATTTACTCACACTCAAGTTATTGTAAACATGTATTAAGTTATTTTTTTCTGTTGAACACAAGATGAGATATTCTGAAAAATGTTGGCAAAAGTAAAAAACAAAAAGTTACCATGGAAGTCGATGGTAGTTCTTTTCAACATTGGTCAGAATATCTTCTTTAGTGTTCAAGACAAGAAACTCAAATTGGTTTGGAGTAATTAGTAAATGAAAATTTTCATTTTTGAGTGAACAACCCCTTAAAATACCCCAAAACATTAAAGAAAATAAGGAGTTCTAGTTGACTTGAGAAAGAGTTTGTGGCTCAGATGCGTATGATCTAAAATGAGACGTTATTAAAGCATGTAAAGGCAATGTGTGGATGTATGCTTCGAGAAAACGTGACTGGAAAAAACAAAAACAAATAAAAAGATGACTTACAACTGAGTTACAAGATACTAGCTCCTTAATGCGAACCATGACTTCTTGTGTGAAAGTCCCGGGCCACAGAACCTGGGAAACGAGTCCTTTGGCACAAGCTTCCTGAGCAGTCAACTTCCTCCCACTCAATAGCATTTCATTAGCCTGTGAGAAAAGAATCAAAGAAGAGCCAATCACATCATTTACCAAGAAGCATTGTATATGTGTTGCATAAACATCTTCCTAAAAGTTATTGTAAGTCAGAGTTATCTGCAAATCCTAGAAACATTTTGCAATATTGGGTGTAAAAATTATTTTTAATCGACTCCTAACAGCAGTTAAACCTATTCTATCTAGAAACATTTTGATATAACTCATGCTTTTATTAACTCTAGATTGGACTACTGTAACTCGCTATATTTTGGGATTAGTCAGACAACTCCTTTACAGTTAATTCAAAATGCTGCTGCAGGGCTTTTAACCAGTACCAAAAAGCATAACCACATCCCACCAGTCTTGCGTGTTCTGCACTATTGTGTTACTTTTACAATTCTTCTCTTGGTTTTCAAATCATTAAATGGCTTTGGACCTACTTATGTCAGATCTGTTGACCAAACATTAGCCTGGGGTGCGTTTCCCAAACAATGATGTAACTCACGGCTGAACTATCATAAGATGATGTATCGTTTGGGAAAAGAACAATATGGTGACGAGTGTTTCCCAAAACTAACTACTTCTTTAGAGAAAACCCCCATATTTTTTGTGCAAATTATGTTGTTTTACAGGCACACACATAAAAAAAATAAAAAAAATCCAATATTAGTTTTGGTAAAAATATGCACTTGTTTTCCATATTAATTAAAATATATGGAATTTTAATGGTTCAATTTTAAACAATTTTAACGGTAATGGCTGTTGGAAAACAATCCTACTAAATAATAATGATAATGATTATTATTATTATGAAGTAGGATATTGTTTATTTATAAAAAATTTTTAATTTGAAAAGTTTACTTTTCAATTTGACACATTTAAACCACTGCAGAAATGTTCTTACCAACAGGTCTGTGTCATATACAGATAGATTTCTTAATAAATAACCTGCTATAAATTAAATCATTAAAGTGTGATATATATTTTTGTTTTCACAAGCTTTGGAGACGTTGCTTAAATTCCACTTTTAAATAATAGATCACAAATAGCTTTCATCATGAGCCACGGCTGTATTCAAAATGGCATAACTGTTTTAAAATTGTACTATGAAGAGTCAAATTGTCAATATGACGATCGCTAAAACTGAACTGTAAAAATAGTTAGAAAGCAAATTACACCTAAGAGTGATGACTTTAATGTTTTTTTAATCATTTCCAATTTAAATGTAGGAATGTTCTAAATGAGTAGCGCATAGGGGGGATAACTGGGAATAGAACACAGCCAGAAACTGTTTCTAACTACAGCTCCAGAGGTGTGGTGGCAAGCATACAAGTTTGCTATGCAGTTTGGGAATGTTTGTTGAAACGATGGATTTGGGAAACAGCAAATCAACGAACTATGTTTGTATTGCACCCCTGGTCAGTTTCTTTGGTCATCAAATCAGAAATTATTATGTTTCCCGAAGTCAAGGTTGAAATGCAGAGGTGACCGGGTCCTAGATTGGGGAATGCTCTGCCCCTCTGTATTAGATCTCGATCCTCTGTCTGTTGTTAAATCTAGGTTCAAACTTTTCTCTTGATTAAGCATTTTACCAGTAAGAATTGTTTTTTTTAAACTATAATTATAGATCTTTCTCTTTGGGATTTGTATTGTGCAGCACATTGGTTAACCTCTGGTTGTGTTAATAGTGCTTTATAAATAAAATTGACATTGACATTTTATATTATAACTATAGAAAAAATCTGTTTCTTGTGCTTGATTAGGTATGTGTTTGAATATGAATAAATGGAAAATTATCATTGGAGCGGTTTTACTTTTTAGAAAATGACAACTGGTCAGAATGAAAGGTTTTATTAATTCTTGAGATTGAAAAGGGTTATTGGTAAGCCTACATGGAATCTGCGCACGCAGAATTCCACAGATTTTCTGCAGATTTTTAGCCAATTATTAACTCTGTTTATTTACTTGAGTAAATGTGTGTAAATCTATATTTATTCAGTTTTTAAATTAATTACAGTAATATTATAGACTAATGTGAAAATGTTCATCTGATATATGTATAATGCAGTTTGTACAGTAATATTTTCTGTCTTTTAGAGATATTATATGAGAGACTTGCTTTATTTACCAAATAAAGTGAATCTAATTGGATTTGCATTTTAAACATTAAATAAAAGTTAAAAATATATCATTTTCAATTTACATATTAAGGTTTTAGTTATGATACTCCCAAAATAGTTCCGCAGAAATCCACATATTTTTACCAAAATTCTCCACAGGAATGGCAAAAGACGACCGCAGATTCCATCTGGCCCTAGTTATTGGACCGAATGTAGCTTTATTAAGGCTGATTTATACTTCTGCATTAACTTCTGCTCTGCAATAACCCTTTCAAAACAGTAGCTGGCAGTAGATTTATATGTTCCTCTGCGTCGTGTTTCTTTGCTGGTGTTTTGTTTTTTCTGAACGCTACCTTAATGTATAAGTACCTAAAGCTCGCACATTCAGAGGCAGGAACCAGTGGATGTGCAACAACTTTAATCATAAGATAAACACAAAACAGTTTCCATCTAGAGCTACTTTATGGGACTTGACACTTGTAAACACTCGCTCCAATGGATTCACGCTGCTCTCGGTTCTGCCCACACTGGTCACAGCTACCAAGTCGACCAATCACAGAGTCAATCACGCGTCGAGTAGTTACATTTTTTGAGAAGTGATGTCAGCATCAGCCACAGTGAGGGCTATGCGACCGCATGAAGGCTGCGCAGGAACATATGCGTGCGCTTGATGCAGAAGTATAAATCAGCCTTTAACCTTTCACTGGGCCTTCTAAACTTTTCAATTACAAAGTGGTCAAATTTTCCCCCATGTATTTTACATGGCAAATAAATACCTATTACATCAGAGTAAGGCCAAGAGATCAACATATCATATAAATTATATCTCTAGCTAGTATCAGATTAAGGCTTGATAATAAATTAATGAATGAATGCATACGACAAACAATAAATACTATACATGATGTGCTCAATTCAAATAAGTTAAATATTCAAGTGTAAAAAAAAACAAAAAAAAAAACTTAAATGTACTGACCGATGCAACTCCCATGATGAGAGGGAATGTAACAGACGAGCAGGCATCTGGGGTTTGGCCAAAGGTTGTATAAGGAGTCTGAAACCAAGCTTTCTCATTGGCCCAGATCACGTCGCACAGGGGCAAGATAGATGCTCCAAGACCAATGGCAGGCCCATTCACAGCAGCAATGATGGGCTTCTTGAACTGGATGAATGTGTTGACGAAAGTTCTGAAGATAACAGAAAATACACTGAATTCTCTCACTGAAATATGATCAAAAGACACATATTTAGTACACTTCTAATCAACCCATCACATGATTGATGCATTTAGGCATGATCAATCTCTGCTGAAGTTCAAACTGAGCATTAGAATGAGAAAGAAATGTGATTTAAAGTCTGCATGACCTGGAAGTTGCTGAGTAGGGATGGGAAGATTAACCGATATGTATCGATACGCGGTCATGCGCGTGCACGATGCGAGTGCATCGGTTGAGCAGCAGAGGATGAATGAAATTTTGGAAGCAAATCGAGATGCATCAGTTTTTGCGAGATGCATCGATTTTTCCGAGATACAGCTTATATTTTCAATATAGAATGTATTTTTTATTTATTAACAAGTGTTGTCAACCTGTTTTGGCGCATAATTTAATCGACCTACATAAAGTAAGCCTTAGCAACGGATTTGCGGATGTGCACACACTACAACTCAGTGTATCAGGTGTGCGGATGAAGCTAGTGGAGCGCCCTCAGAAAGTGCGAGAAGCAAAACAAACATTTTATTCCCCACTGAGTTTTAAATCTAAAGTATGGCAACATTATGGATTTAAGGATGGACGACATGACAGGACAGATGCAATTTGCAAAATGTGCCGCGCATCTGTAAAATACGCGGGCAGTACGACTAATCTGATATCTCACTTGAAGCGGCGCCTCGGTGTTGTTGTGAAAGCATCTTCTAGTGTTTCTGCATCCCCGGCTTTCGCACTGCTTCAACCAGCTCCAAAAGTGGTGAGAAAAGCATTGAAAGTTTTTTTTTCCATGCGCAACAGTTCTGCTCGCTCTACGCCAATAACGAATGCTATTGCATTGTTCATCTGCACAGATATTCAGCCTAGTGTCACGGAGAACGAAGGTTTTAAACACCTCCTCCTGTTAATTTTTATTTAATTATATTAATATTAATAATAATAATGATAAAAATAATTGGGTGTCACGGTGGCACAGTGGGTAGTTTGACCACCTCACAGCAAGAAAATTGCTGGTTTGTTATATTTTTATTAGCCTGTTGTTTACAGTGACAGTGATGTTTCAAAGCAGCATAACACTGCTAGTTCACGACCTTAAGTTTTGAATAATCAGTGGCAAAATATATCTTTGTAAAACTTGTTTTCATAGTTGAAAAGTTAAATCACAATTCTTGTTGTGCAATGCTAAATTTATTTATGTTGAAAGAGTGCAAATATATATATATATATATATATATATATATATATATATATATATGTATGTATATATATATATATATATATATATATATATATATATATATATATATATATATATATTGCACTTATACATTCTGTTTATCTTGAAAATACTTAAATAATATGTGCTATATGTTCTAAAATGGCCCTCTACTGTAAACTGACACTCTGGCTCTGAGAGAAGAGCCAGTTTGTAAAAAAGTCTTGGTTTTGCTTGGTTAATAAATAATCAAACTCATTCAATGGCACAGCATCCTCTTTCACATCATCTCATAAACTTGATCTAATTAGTTAAGTGCTGAAATATCGCATCGTATCGTGATATGGGTGTGAATCGTATCGTGTTGCATCGCAATATGTCATAAATGTATCGCTAATATATCGGATCGTATTCTTTGTATCGAGATGCGTATCGGATCGGCATTATAGCTTAGATGCCCAACCCTATTGCTGAGACTTTTATTTCAGTATGTTGATGTACATCCCAACTGAAAAAGACTATTGATTTGGGGTGGGGCTATGTTTCTGCACATCATTCCCTCATAGCAAACTAACGGTAAGAGGGGTATGGTTAAGAATACTGTGGCTGAAGCAGTCAAACTGACATCAGCAGAGAAGAATTATAACCACAAACCAGAAGCAGATGGTCAGACTTTGATTGATCACAGTAATTTGCACAGATTAACTGTTCACCTAAATAATGACAAAGTGTTCAAGCTAAATAAACATAGTAAATTTTGATGTCACACTGACTTTAAGCAACTTGGTATGTGCCTGGATCAATGGAGTCAGACGGGCTGGTCCGGGTTTGAACAACCATCTTTAAAGATTGCAAATAATTGTCAGAAAATATCCAAATAACAGATGTTATGCTTAAGGGTTAATTTGCCTTGCAGAGGTCAAAGGAGAATGACCAGACTGGTTTGAACTGATTGTAAAGTGACATCAACTCAAATCATCGCTTATTACAAGTGAGGTCTGTAGATGAGCATCTTTGAACGCAAAACACACTGAACCTTGAAGCAGATGAGCTACAGCAGCAGAAAATGAGTGCACACAGATGACACTCCTGTCAGATGACAACAGGCTCGGCAAATTCATTTTGACAGACCAGCAAGTTTTTGCTGAAGTAGATTACAGTGCTGAGATCACTTAAATCAGGGGTCTCAAACTTGTGGCCCGCGGGCCATTTGCGGCCCTCAGTGCAATATTTTGTGGCCCCTGCCGACCGCTGTACACTGACAGAATCAGCGAAGCGGGGAGAGAGAGCGCTCGCCGCTCCGCTGATTCTATCCGTACACAGCGGTCACTGGCATTCCCCGCCCGCCGTGTAAACAAAGGGGCGGGGATGCCGGTGACGTCACCATGCACCCCGCCCCTTTGTTAGACGCTGTAACGGGCGGGAAGTGTTAGGAGGGAACTCGCGCCAGCCAGAACCAAGGTAAGCTGTTCCCGCCCCTGCCTGCCACTTCTGCCACAGCTACCTATCTGCAGCCTGCCACCTACCTAACTACAGCCCGCATCTTATATATATTATAAGTAGATACAGACTGGTACAGACTGATGGGACTGGAGTGGGTTGGGGGTGTTTTATTTATACATATATACGCCTTTTTTTAGGTGAGGGCAGGCACGTGCACACATAGGGCTCAACCTGTGCAGTGCACATGCCCTTTTTAGTCTTGGATAGAAAGTGCCCTTCCAAAATGATCAAAAGTGCCCCCGCGATGCGGCACACCTTCGGTCCCGCCCTTCAGTAGGCACGCGACAACCCCGCTCTTGAGTACGCGCGCGACAACACAGCTGATCAGTACGCGCGCATCCACTCTGCAGATCTGCACCAATCACCCCCCCCCCCCCACCCCCCAGCTCTTACAAAAAAATTTTTTAATTTATATCGCTCTAAAGCCAAATGTGGTTCAGATTTGTGAGAAGAAGCGCTGTCAAGTCTCTGGCAGCAAGGAGTAGGCAAAAGATGCCATGTTCAGAAGAACTGTTTATAATCTTCACTCAATGTTCTATTAATATTCAGGAGACTTCATGGTCAGAACAAATAATTAAAACTGTTAATAATGACATTTGAGGACTTTTTTTTTGTGAAATCCCTTAAGCCTGGTTTATACTTCTGCGTCAAGTGACCGGCGCAACTCACGGCGCAGGCAACGTGCGTGGCTGTGCATTTATACTTCTGCACGCTGTCTCCGTTGGTCTGCATTAACACTTCCGAAACGCTAGTGGGCAGTGAGGTGTAAATGTTCCTCTGTGTCGAGTTTCTTCGCTTCTGTTTTGCTATTCTGATCACTTCCTGGATGTACAAGTGACTCAAACTCGCTCATTTTGAGGCAGGAACCGGCGGACGTGCAACAACTTTAACCATGAGGTAAACACAAAACAAAACTTTCCATCCGGAGCTCCTTCACAGGACTCCACACTTGTAAACAATCGCTCACGCCTTTCGCGCGGCTTTCGGTCCCGCCCAGACTCGTCAGCGCTACCAAGCCGACCAATCACAGAGCTTGCGCTACGCGTTGTTGCGACGTTTAGTTACAATTTTTGAGAGGTGCACGTCAGTGACGGCGATGGCCACGGCGAAGGGCTATGCGACAGCGCCGTAGCCTACGCCGGTGTTTGACGCAGAAGTATAAATCAGCCTTTATGCGGCCCAGCCTCACCCAGACTTTGCCTCCTGCGGCCCCCAGGTAAATTGAGTTTGAGACCCCTGACTTAAATGAAGGCTACAATGACAGTGTACTCCGTCACACTTTCACTTTACACTGTAAGATTTGAGATTCCACAAATATTTGGATGTCTTTGACGATTCAAATATGAGCTGAAAACACAGACAGAGACAATTGGCTCCACAACCCACCAGGTGGGAATGAGGGAAAACCAGCTCCTCTCCTTCATTCACATTTGAAGCATCCCTGCAACCCCCCCTGTTCACTCACCCTCTCTACATACTGTACTCTCACAGTGAGGTGTATAAAATAAAGTATGAATGTTCTATATCAATTCAAGTGACTTTATCTATCATGTTTGATATCATAAAAATATCTTGGTGCGAATGGTACAATGGTCTCATTCCCTCAGAATTAGACAATCAAAACAGTAGATATAAAACTTAATGTATCTGTTGAACCACTGTGAAGGGTGTGCCTTTCCTATAGACAGAAACTCTTCCACTATATGCAAATGCCTTTTGTTATTCAACACAGCCCTTTCCTCGAGGCGATTCTTGGATTTACTACATAAGGAAAGTTTCTAAATGTTCGGGGCGATTCTGCAATCAGATCAGCCCATAGGCTGAAATTTTGAGTTATTCAAACAGAGTTTCTGTAACTATCTTTAGTAAATTACGTTAAGTCCATAACACCACAAGCCCCGGTACAGGTGAGTAACGGACTAAAACATTATAGACGGAGCAGCGTGGTGTGCTATACAATGTTCTTAGAGTTCAGTCTAACACATTAGCCGCATTTCCACTGTCGGGCCAGTGCGAGCCAGGGCTTATATCGAGCTGGGCCAGGCCAATCGCCCGGGAGGTTGAGCAGTAAATCATGTCGCATCGCGTCACGCAAACCCCGCCCCCAGAACTTCCCTCGAATCAAACATCACACAACCCGCCCACTTCAGCGGGAATCAGGCAGATAAAGCACACCATCACATCATCACTAGACCATACAAATAAAGTACCGAAACAAACAAATGACACGTTACTGTACAGCATTACGTTATATGTCTATATGCACAGGCCTGTGTGTTCTCATTAATCATATTCATTTACTCGCCGACCGACTGTTGGCATCGTGTATCGAGTGGTCTCGCCACAAACGGAGGGACCCAGCGCAGTGAACGCACCCATCCATAATATAAAACCATAGAAATTCTCTGTTAATAACGCGGTAGAAAATGTATTTTTATAACATCCTCGTTTAGATAGACACTGTCAAACAATTAGCCCAAATGCTCCGAGAGACCTGAAACATATACATTTTTTTCCAATAGGCTATATGACACTTAATAGGTGATTCCACTTTATTTAAAGATGTTGCATATTATTCTGTGATTTTAGAGTAAAGGAAAGTGTTAAGTGTTTCAGGACATAAGAGCAAGTTATAAAATATAGCCTATATTTCGTTGCGCTCAGCAGCTTAATAAAGGTCAAATTTCATTTATGAATTTTACCACGTCATATAAAACATAAACACTTGTTTGAGGACACAGAACACATTTTGTATTTGCAGTTTTTCCCCAATGCATTTGTAAAGCAGCGCTGCAGGACTGCGTGACAGAAAAAAAGGTCGCTTAGTTTCTGCTTTCACTCATAATATCATCATATCCAAATACTTTATAAATAATATGTGAAACCTTCTCCGGTGTTTATTGTTTTTAGAAAATATCTAAAATCTTTTTTTTCAGATAGGCCTTCGTAAAATGAAAGTTTAATATGGCTTTTAAATGGTTTGATTTATGTATTGTTTATACCTAAATAAGTAAATTACCTAAATTATAGCTAGCTTTTATTTGTTTTATATTAGTTTATTTATTTTATGTGATTTTATTATATCCGACATTTGTAATTATTTAAATTATTTCTATATATCTTAGGCTATTTTATCAAGATATGACACTATTGTTTTGAGTCTACAAAAGTGGACACGAAATTTGTAAATTTTTATGTATTTCTGTTGTATTCATAATGTGTATTATCTCTAAAATAAATAAAAACAGAAGCTGCTGGCAGCATCAACAGAGCTGCGCTTTTTTGCTCGGTCTCGCACATACATATAGGCATCTAAACGCGCACAAACACACCTTTTAAACTTGACAAAAACTCTCGAAAAACTTTACTGTCAGCTGTGTCTTTAATATGGTGTAAAAATTATTATGCGTTGTTGAAACATCAAGTAGGATGCAGCAAAGTCACTTATAAATGAAAACTTTATTATTTTATGCAACAGCCTTATATTTAATAGAGAAACATAAGGGCGATCATACGTAAAAAGACCCTAGTCTATAAGGAAAGATGCTTTCTTTCCCTCATTTATTTATTTGTTTATTTGTTTGGCGCATGTACTCGTACGCGATCAGAAAACTAGAGTCCGCCTCTCCTTTCACTCCGCCCCAGAGCCCCAACTAGCCCTCTTTGGCCCAAGGTATTCGGTGGGCCGAAAAAGGTCAGCAGCTGGCCCCGAGAAAGCCCTGCTTTGCCTCGATTAGGCCCCGGAAGTGACAGTGGAAACACGACTGGCCTTGGCTCGCTCATTTTAGGCACGATAGTGAAAACGCGGCTATTAGCATTATTCAAGTATACTTAGACTGTAAAAGGCCAATAATGGGTTTTCTATTTAGAACAACAAAGTACTGTTTAAACCAATCTAAATGTGGCTAGGCCTTCATCTCTAAACTTATAATACTATTTAAATCATATGGTGATTATTCAAAGTTACTAATAGTAAATTGGTCTGCTTGATTTTATAGTAATGATTATGGTATGATTAATTAGTTTTGTTTTAGTAGATAGCAGATCTATGGGGATCGCACAATAATACCATAATCTGAGTAAGTAGGGTTCTGCCTTTTTAGAATAGCGGATAATCATCTCTGTTTAATGACCAAGACTGACTTGTGCTTGTGTTTAAGAGATTGTATACTCAGCCTGTACAAGTCTCAGGATGTTATGGGAAACCAAATGAACGAGAATAATGTACAATAATGAATCAAAGAGAATATTAAATCACAATCTAAAGTAATATTAAAAGAAACAAAATAATCTTATAAATGTATGGAGTCAGGTAAAACGAGGATAAATATATCAATATTCTAAACCACCTCATACTAAAATTAGAGTCAGATATGTGTTAAGTTTAAAGTAAATCAACAATAAATTTAAAGTGCACTGGAAAGACCGAACATGCAGTGAACCTTCGTCTACCAGTAGACACCATCATTGGACTAACTGGCTGGACTTTACAACACAAACAAACTGTTTATGCACTGATCGTTTTTTGCACCTGTGACAATGCATGAGATAAACATGTAGACACATTGTCTTCCATCTGATTAAAACAGGCTTGCTCAGCCATATATTTGACATTCCCCAAAGCAGTGGCGAGGGAAAAAATAAAATAATAACCAATATGACTTTCATGTTTCATGTACTTACTGGAATTTATTGGCTGACTGTATTTCCATGGTAATTTATGCAAATTTTTGCTAAGAAGGTTTCCCGTTCAGTTGTATGAATGGACATTTTTTCATGCATATTTTCAGATTGTATGTGCATGTTGGCATTTCCCTACAGTATTTTTAAAGTTCACTGTAATCCAATGGTAATCTGATCTCAATCAATAAAGCATCTTTATGATGTGGTAAAAAAAGATTTGATTCTATTATGTCAATATGGATTTGAATTTCTAAAGAAAGTTTCAGCACCTTCTCAAACCTATGCCATAAAGAATTAAGCAACTTCTAAAAGCAAAAGTAGTTCCAGCCTGATACTAGCAAGGCGCACCTAATGAAGGGCCCAGTAAATGTATGTTCTCATATTTTATTTACCTGATTGTCTCCGCCATTTTGATGCTTTCTTTTTTCCTATCATCAGTGAGCCGCCTAATAAAGTAGATGAAGTCAAGGCCAAAGCAAAAGACGCTTCCCACACCGCTCAGTAGAACAAGTTTACTATCATCAGCTGCTGCTGTGGCCATGGCACTCTGAACCTCCTTCATTACCTGAAATGAGTAAAGTTGTAAAGTAAAGTTACCTGAAAAGAGTAAAGTTGACAGATCAAATCAAGGTAGAATCAAAATCATTCACAGTATAAGCAACTTCATATATAGGAAAAATATGTATGCACCTATGATAGATGTACACGCAGAATGGCTATATGCTAACAAACTTTCAATTCATTTAAAAATTTACACGGTAAAACCTAAAAAGTTAAGGTAACTCAAACCATTTAAGTCAAAAACTAATCCTAATGGGTTCTGTGAACTTAATCCATTTGAGTAAACGAAGCAATTTGAGCACAGTAAAGCCCAATAAATGAAGAGAACTCAAACCAACTGCGTACTGTAAAACCCAAAAAGTTAAGGCAACTCAAACCGTTTAAGAAAACCTATTGCTACAAACCATTTGAGTGAAAAAAAAAAATAATCTATACGAGTACTGTGAATTTACTCCATTAAGGTTGAAGTAATGAGGTATGTAATGAACTTATTACCTTCAACACTGAAGTTCAAATGAGTAAAAAAACTTTCTGTCAATTTTGAGTAAACTACACTCATTTCATTTGTTAAAGTTGACTGTTGGGGTTTACAGTGTATAAATAGGATAACACATTTTCTTTATGGCGTCAGATTTTATTTTTACTTTTTATTTATCATCATGACACCCAGCCCTAATTCTGAGGTTGAGGTATGAGATTATAAAAAGCAATGAGTCAAATATCAGGACACTTAAAATAGAACTATTATTTAGGCGCATTCTGAACTAAAAAACGGAATCCACATGCAACTTTGGCATATTGTGTTATACATTTAGACTTACGTCAGGATTCAGCGAGTTGTTCTCAGAGGTCTTTGTAGAAAACAGAATGTGTGTAAAGCCGTCCTGTTTTTTAACAACTATGTCCCTGTAGCGGTAAGCACTCTCAGTTTGTCGAACACTGAAACGCAGGCGCTTGTCAAAATTCGCCCGTTCCTCAAAACGTCTTTTGCCTGTCAGTCCTGAGCTGCTCATCACTCCTGCTGCAGCACTTTGTGTGATGGCGGTTCCATTGGCAGACGAGGCCTCCATTAGAGTAGTCACTCCTAGGAAAAAGCAGCAAAAAAAGTATGAGTCAAATAATTATGTATAATATTGTGATAATCTATAGAAATTGTACAGTTATAATATCATATATAATCATGATATTATATCATATCATATATCATATATAAATAGACAAATGATACTAAAGACAATTTCACCCTTTAAACGTATTTAGACAAATTACATTTTTTTTCACCTTTTCTTGGGATAGGACAGTGGAGGACAGACAGGAAAGCATTGGGATCAGAGAGGGAAAGGATCGGTATAGTACTGGAATCAAGCCGGGAATCAAACTTGGGTCACCACGAGCAACATGGTGCTGAATGTCGGCGCACTTAACCACTAGGCTATTGCCAATTTTTATTATTTCTAAATGTCATTTTATCACTTTAATATTTCTGAATCTATAATCTATTAGTCAAAAGCCTGTGGTCAGTTTGATTTATAAATAAAAACTAAATATCTTTAGAATTTTACAAAACATTTCAATAATATTTTTGGCTGGAAATTCAACTTTACTGTTCCTAATTTAAGATTTTCTGATAAAATAAAAACAGTCTTGATGAGCATAAGAAACATATTATTATTATTAATTTATTTAAATGAGTGTTCATCATGGATACACAATCATTAACAAATACATGCTAATATTTTTATGACCTGAAATGAAATATTAGTTTAACATTATTACCAGTTAAACAGTATGCTGACAGTGTAACATAATTACAGTGTCTATTTTTGGTGTAGTCTTAAATCTTTTGGAGGATCTAAACAGATACTTGAACTTTTTTTATGTCTGTACTTATAAGTGTTCTGCAGTATCGTAATTCTGTATGGTATAGGAGTCTGTAGTTTATGAACCAGATTAAAATATGTTCAAATACAGTAGGAAATTATATGACCGTTCATATTACAAGGACCACAAGGCTGGCATAGAACATCATTTCAAACCTACATCATGTGTTGAATCATGAATTTATACCATTAAAGTCTAATGGTCGAGTAGAGTATCATGTTTTATTAAAGAGAAATTAAAAAGTCTTGGAGCTGAATAAGGTCTGTGTACAATGATTTTTTTGTATCAGTCCTTGTCCCTTTGTAGAGAGCATTTATCATGCTATTATGCAAGAAAAAAACTCAGATGCAAGACTGACGATAAAGTTCAGTATTACTGTATTTTAGTTTAGTTTGATATTAAATATAAAAAAGTACCAAACGTCATGGATGTGAGCATTCCTTTTTGTTATACAAAGATCCAAACATTTAACAAAATTTTGATTGGTTTTGATGGAGTACTCGTATCATCATATTTAGGATAACCAAGTGTACAGCTGATAAACACTCCAGAAAGTGCATGATGCTCTGCTAAAACACATTTGCTTTTATTTATCAAGAGCTTGTTTATTAGTGTTTATTGTGTCATTCCATTGCTGGAAACACATAATCCATTAAATTATACGTAACTGACTGGAACAAACTAATTTAGCGGTGATTGCAAACCTGGAAGTAAAAAACCCTCATGAGAAAGTCATATTCCCAGTCAAGATGTCTTTACCTTTCCCATTCAATGTGCGGACGGCAGCTGGCGTAATGGGTATCTGTGGTGGTGGAAGTGCCGTTTGCGTTCTGGGCCTTGTGCCCATTCGGGCTCGCTCTTCTCCTGGCACCCGCATGGCTCCAGCAGGTTTCTCCAGCAAGGCCACTTCAGGAGGAACAGCATCTGGCTCTTGGCTGCCCTGCTCCAGACTATGAGCCGCTTCACTGGGAGACTCCTCAGTGTCAGCGCGGCTGTTCATTGGGCTCTTTGGCACCAGGATTTTGATGCCAGATTTCGACAGGTCCATACTGCGGCGCAGGGCACTCACAGTGGGTGCAGCAGCTGGCGCTGCTGTGGGGGCCGTCTCAGTGACTGTACCCATGATGCTGCTCGTGCCAGCCGAACGTCCTCTCTTCTGCTGTGGCGAGTCGCTGTCATTGGATGAATTCTGTGCTGGCTGAGGTCGTTTTGTGGGGTGTGTGTTTGGGGTTGGCGTAGAGGTTTTGGCTGTGTTGGAATTTGCTGAAGGGTGTTGAGGTCTGCTGATCTGCTTGCGAGCATTGATGCTAGTGTTGGCTGTGCTTGGGGAGCTGCGTGTGGATCGGAGCAAAGTTCCATCTTTCTGCTTTTCGCTGTGTTGTCGATTAAACTCATGGATGAACTCGATGCAACTGGACAGGTGACCCTCCGGCTCCCAGGTGTCTCCCTCAAAGCTGTAGCCTCGCCAGCGGACCAAGTACTCAGTCTTTCCCTTTTTGTTCTTGCGTTTGCCTATTATTCTTTCCACCTACAGAAAGGCAGGCAGAGGAAGTGCGGTTTAGTGAAGTGTATATGAAATATTAAAGTACTGGCAGGATACAAAGATGAATGCTAAAGGACTCGCAAGGAAAGCTACGATTGTGGAAAGTTATTGACAAAAGCTAAAATTAGCATGTACATCTTTTCAGATGCACAGTGTGATCTGTAGTAAAGCTCCTCTGAAGGCCAGAGGGTGCTCTCATGGAAACTCCAAACACACTAGGCATGGGCTGGTATAAGATTCTGATGGTATGATAACCTTGGATAAAAATATCACAGTTTCACGATATCATGGTGTAAAGATCACTGCTCTAAGATATATATTTTTTTAAATGTCTGGAAAAAAACAAAACCTTTTCCCCCTTTTGTACACAATATATTTTCATTTGAGAAACACTTAAAATAACGTGGAGCAGTAGACATGTCAGGCTAAATAATTTTAATGAATTATAGACTTCAGCTGTCTTCATTTGTTTCAAAAACACAATTTTTTAAAAAACGGCAACTTTGGAGAAATGTTCTGCTTGAGATACTGTTGTCCTAAAAAACAAATAAAAAAATGTAAATAAAAAAATCGTACTCATACCTTAGGAACGGTATAGCAGAAAATTTAGATGGTTTTTAAACCTTAACTTTTCCAAACCGCGGTATACCTTGAACACTGTTATCGTCCCATGCCTAAAATACACATGAAGAAATCAAGGAACTCCCTGTAGCGGTTGCTGAATAAACAGAAGATTTAACTGCTTTCACAGATTCACCATAACTAATAACAACACAACTAAATTGTCTTACATAAGGATCTATTTTAAACACTTGACTGATATTATGAAGTGTGTTTTGAGTAAAAAGTCCCTCGCGCACGGTTTCAGCTAGGCATGGGCAGGTATAAGATTCTGACAGTATAATAACCTTGGATAAAAATATCATGGTTTCACAATATCACAGTATTGTGCTCACTGGTTTAAAATATATTCTTTTTAAATGTCTGGGTAAAAAAACAAAGTAAAACTTTAGCAGTGAGTAATCTAATGCCTTTGTTGCATGTTGAAAGAGGTCTGTAGACTAGGGTTGTCGTGATACTGGAATTCGGTACCAATTGGTACCAATTGTCACGTCATACCAACAGTTGATCAGCGTCGATCAGCTGGTTTGTTTATAACCTGACATATGAGTGATCCGCTGATGCCTTTAAAATGCTACAGTTTCCCTGTATCTGTGGTTATAATCAGTAAACAGCAGTGAGTTTGGTGAACTTATGACCTTCTTGGCGAATCAGTCATTTATGTTGAGCACATAAACACGATGGCAAATCAGCGGTGCTTAAGAACGAGCTCAAATGTTCTCAGGAATTGGATGTTTTTAAAATTCCAGTATCGACTGGTACCGAATTCCAGTATCATGACAACCCTAAAGTAGACTATGATAAATCACATGCGACTGTCATGCGCATTTATCTGTAAAACCGATTCTGTAATAACCTGTGAGTATCTAGCATGTGTGTTCAGCTGTAACAGCGTTTATAGTTTATACTACTGCTTAATAGTTTTCTACCAAGCTACACAAAATATTGCATGCGATAGAGAAATCACACAATCATTGTGCAATACTGACAGCTGTTTGTGTGGTTTCTCAGTGAACTTCGGCCCTTCGTAGTGAATGTTGCTAAATGCAAATAACAAATATAATAACGTTTTGACTAAAAACTCACTTCATAGCTTCAGTCGAGAGTTTAAATTTAGTCCTGTATAATGATGCATCTTCTGAAACAGAATCAAGGATGCAACATATTTCATAATAACATTCTAATTAGCAGCGGCAAAGACATTGCATAACTGCATACTTTATAAATAGGAAAATTATAATAAGAACTCAGATAAACCATATATGGTCCATAGAACCATATATATGCTGTCGTGGTCTTGTGCTTATTAAAACCTGTTGAATCAAATAAAAGCAGTTTAATCCCCTGTTTATCCTATGCTTTCCCACTGACTGTATTTCCTGGGTTTTGTCAGGGTGCCTACACAATTAATATTTTGACAACTGTGTGTATTCAACATTTAGGCGCAAGAAGAACTAATCACATATGTTGTCTGAAACCTGATTTAGAATTTTGCCTCACTCCGCAGCATGAGCCTTAGCGAAATGAGAATATTTTGGCTAATTAATTGATAACAAATAGTAACTGAATGGTTATTAATGTTCTACAAGCTTTAACTTTGATTAGGTGGGAGAAACTAAACAGGACATCTGGCCTTCCTACAAGATTATATCCACCTCTAAGCCCAGGTTTATCACTGTCACTGACCCAAAGATGTGCAGCCACACAATGATCCACAAGGTAAAGATGTTGATGTTCCTTTGAAAGAGTGTTCTTGCATTACTAGGCTAGTAAATTGTCATGCAGACATTATAAAAGGAGTTGAATAAAATAGTTTAAAAACCACAATAATATTGCTGGATTTGTAGATTTTGGTGCAATATATCCCGCAACAAAATCTAAATATTGTGACCGGCCTACGGATGACTTTTAGTATTTATTTTCAAACATTTGTTTCTTTTAATATAAACTAAACATGACAGAAAGTGTTCTGATTCATTATATTCTGTTTATTATTTTACACTATTTGATACATCATACTTATTATGAAAGCTCATCTGATTTACTGTGAGAATTCAGAATAAAAAGCAGCACAGTTTTACATGTATAGATATTTGGTGAGCTAATGCAAAATAATTCTTTTCCATAATGATATGGGTAATTCTCACAAAAACTTAGTTTTTGAAAAAAAAATTCAAACATGAATTTTTAAAAAAATGTTTCACTTAAATTTAGTTTTTGCAAATAATTGAAACAAAGTGTGTGTGTCTCTCTCTTTCCTTTCTTTTGTAAGTAGTTCTGGGTTGCTGTACAATTTTTTCCCAACCTAGCTTTTGCTAAAGATTTTCTTTTTTTACTAGCTGACTGTCTAAAATAAAACAAATCAAAGCAAAATATAAACAGTTAGCACATTTTTAAACTAACATTAAATTCAAAATAAAGAGTTATTTGAATCTAGCATGCAATTTTCATAAATTCTCATTCCCGAAACAGATGTTTTCTCTACTGCCATTGTCTCTAAATGGTTGCGGTATATGAGAAAAGAGTTGCGGAGAACGAGGTGCCTCAATATGTTTTGCAAATAATAGGGAAGCTACGATGATTTGAAAAAAAATTCTCAGTGGATAAAATTAAGACTTTAAAAAAAAATTTTGACATAAAAATTTGCAAATCTAACAATTATGTAAATAGAGAAAACTACCTGTTTCGGTAATGATAATCAAAAAGTTGTGTAACCATTTTGACAGGAGAACATTTTACATTAAACTGGAGAAATATAAAAGATCTGCTTTCTTGGCAAACAACTGGCCCATGTGCTCCTTTTTACAAAATTAAACTTTATTTAAACTCTTTATGTGTGTTTAAACCAGGGGCGTTGCGAGGGGGGGACTTTGGGGCTTAAGCCCCTGATGTATTGTCAAAAGCCCCTGATCTTTTGGAATATGTTGCACTTAAATAAAAATAGGTTGTATAACATTCATTTTGTTATTAAAGTTCTGACAATTAACACGTGTATATCACGCGTATTCTACCTAAAGCAGCATTTGTGTCGGGTATTTAAAAAGTAATCTATTCAGCAGTACCTGTTTCTACTGGCAGGTGGGAGTGGCTCTGTTGTCACATGGTTTAAAAATATTCCGCCACTGCACATCATTCATTCTTTTGAGCAGCTGAAGCTGATGAGGTAATAATACAACTGTTTCACAAAACTGAATAGTTCTAGCTAAGTTACAGATGAAGCTTAATATTTGTTTTTACAGCAGAAAATGTGTGTAGTTTTGGTGAAATAACAAAACTGTTGGTAATCAATAAAATGTGCTGCACATTAATGTAAATACATGCAAATTAGTCAGAAAAAGGTAAATTGTGCTTGCTTTCTAGATATGATATATATATATATATATATATATATATATATAGAGATCTTTATCTAGATATGATATAGCCAGTCACATCTGTTTCTGTAATAGTTAAATCACAGTGAGTTCATGTATCTAGCATATTATTTTATGGCTATATTCTACAGTAACATGCTATGTCAGTTAGCAGCGGATTATAAATCGACTTTCTTATGAAAATACCTAATGCCCCCGGGCCCCCCTGTTTATTTTTTTAACACATTTCTAAACATAGTTTTAATAGCTCATCTCTAATAACTGATTTATTTTCTCTTTGCCATGATGACAGTAAGTACTTGACTAGACATTTTTAAAGAAACTCCTATACAGCTTAAAGTGACATTTAAAGGCAGGTTAGGGTAATTTGGCAAGTCACTGTATAACGATAGTTTTTTATGCTGCCTATCGGAAAAAAATATAGCTTAAAGGGGCTAATTATTTTGACCCTTAAATGGTTTTAAAAAAAATTAGAACTGCTTTTATTCTAGCCTAAATAAAACAAATAAGACTTTCTCCAGAAGAAAAAATATTATCAGACATACTGTGAAAATGTCCTTGCTCTGTTAAACATCATTTTGAAAATATTTAAAATAGGAAAAAAAATTAAAAGGGGGGCAAATAATTCTGACTTCATCTACATTTATTTTCACAGTCGTGTAAACGATCAGTTTAAGCCTTTTTTATGTTTATTCAGATCTTATTTTCATTCAACTCCAGCAATAGCTGGATTCCTTCATCCATAATATTTGGGTTTTCCTGGAATATTCTACAACTTTTGTGAGGCAAATATGGAATTTCTGCTCAAGAAATTAAGCAGGCATTACATGCATTCAAAGTGCTGCAATGCCCACATCAACCTATTTTGAGGAAAACTAAAAATCTCTCTCTAAAGAAATTTGAAGTAAACACATTTCTAGCATTTAAATCTTTATTTTTTGTACTATTTTTGATACAATTGTTTTTTTAAAAAAAAAGCCCATTGAATAT